TGCACAGCTGGCGTCCCTGACTTTGCGTATGTAAACTGGACCAATCACAACTTGGAGGCATACTCTAAGCAGTTGGTGTCAAAGACTAAAAAGACGTTCTACATATATTTAACAGACAAGGATGGAGTCGAGATCTTCTTGAATGGCGTCGATATGAACTTGACGTTGATATTGTACAGGCGCAACGACATCTACGAGCTGACACGAGGATATATTAATTATTTGTTGGTCAAGGAGCATGAGACCATCCAGATTAGCAGCGAAATATAATCGATCGTTACAATATATAATAGATGGAGAACGTCGTTTCAAAGGAATTAGATTACACGCCCCTGCTCGTTGCCGAACCTGAGTATGAATATACGAGGCTGTTCCCACAGTCAGGCACAACATCAACAACTGTTTACTCTGGTGGCAATGACACAATCTTTGAGATCCCACCGTCCAAGGCATACAACTTGTCAAGATCATACTTTAGGTTCATATTCAATCTGCCTGGCGTGGCAAACAAACAGACAATGATGTTTGCTGACTTTTGTCCATTCTTCAGACAGATCCAGGTGTATATAGGAGGTGGTTTGGATTTGATGAATCATACCAACTTCCATCTCCACGCCAAGATGGTGACAGTGAGGAACAAACCATTGGTCGAGACAGAAAACACATTCGCATCTTTTAGAATGACGAGCGATCAATTATGATCCCATGTCTTTCATCCAAACTACCAAACTCATACGCTGCTGGAATGGTTTACAACCCCAACTACACTGGAGAGGAAGCAGCAGTCCCTTATGTGGAGCCTAGGTATTTACTTGCTGGGGATGGCGCTGGCGGTGAGACCAATGTTGTTGTAACAATCCCTTTCAATGAACTCTATGAATCAATTCTCTGTGTTGACAAAGACATCATGTTGAACGAGACATTATTGGTAAGATTCGTTTGGTCAGAGCTCGCTAATATCGCATTCGCTGCTGATCCACCTGCAGCACTCCCAGATCCATCACCAGCAATTCAACCACCCCCATCACCAATCCCAACAACCAATCCAGTTGCATTGCCCGCACCGGCAGCATTTAATGTCACAAACATGGCGATTTATCTGGCAGTGGAAAAGAACCTCGCGATTGTCAATGAGCTCCAGACCAAGATTTTCAGTCCAGATGGATTCTCTTTGATGATACCTTACTCGTACTCTTACCAAGCAGCGCTCACTGGACAGAACCAATCGGTGACTCTCAGAGTCAATCGACAAAATGGTATGACGTTGGAGAGGATCTATCACAGTCTTTTCCTAACACAAACTGCAGCTAATACAGCCATTTACAACAATAACTGGAGAAACACCAAGTTGGATCACTTTTACACAAATATCAACAATAACAGGTTAATGCAATATGATTATTATTTGAACCTTAACGACGATTACATGGCACTGCGATGGATCCTCAAAGACTCGTCACTATTGACACCAAGAATCCACAACAGGAACTGGTGCTGGATTGAGGAGTTTGGCGACGGCACCTCCAACTTCAACAAGGACAACGCTATCACTGGTATTGATCTCAACCTTGGTGAGCAGAAATGGGATTTCATTGGTTTCCTCAGCGAAAATACCAACTTGACACATCAATCAACTGTGGTGTGCAAACGTAAGCTGGTCATCACACCTAATGGCCTTGTTTTGGTGTAAATAATCTCGCGAAGCCTGATTTAATTGGAGCAATCTCCAATTAAATCTCTGGTAGTTAATATAAATGGGATACTCAAAAGAAATGTGCATAAAGACAGTGTTTGTCAATCTTGTTTTTCCAGCTGATGGAGAGAACCCTCCTGTTGATAAAAGAATCTCTGTACCAATAAATGTTGATTTTGTTCCAGACCAAATTATTGTCAAGTCTTATGAAGTTATGTACAGAGGGGATACCACCAATCTAATTCAAATAAGATCCAATTTGATTCCTGACAACGTGTTGTATTGTAGCACAGAGCAGATATGTTTCCTTTCCCCTAACTACAAGTTCTTGAACAAAGCAGGAAGATACATTCAAGGAAATTATTATTTTGAATGTGTGAATGAGAAGGGAGGACGTGTTAAAGAGGCGGTTGCTGTTACAATTGCTTTAGAGTTTGTCAAGTATGGGGGACAACAATAGTATTACCTAAATAATATAGATGATCAAGCTACAAACAATAAATGATGTAGAGGTAGAGCCAATTAAACTACCTAAACAACCAAAAAATATTAAAGGATCCAAACTCTTCAACCAGGTCAATGCCAACATTTTGATATGTGCGCCAAAGAACAGTGGTAAAACTGTAACCATCAAGAAGATAATTGATGAGTGTGCAGGCAAGAACACCAAGGTGATAATATTCTGCGCCACTGTAAACAATGATCTCAGTTGGGTGGCCATCCAGGATGACATGACCAAACGTGGGATTGAATTTAAAACATACACAAGCATCAAGGATGGCAAGATTAATTTATTGGATGAATTTATTGCTTCTTTACAACAACTGGCTAGTCCTCAAGTTTCTCCTGGCGATCCCAACAAAATGCCATTGAGAGACCCTTCTGTCCCAATGATCAAGTCTTATCCTCTGATCGGGCCATACGCTCTGCCACCTCCAAAAGAACCTGCCAAGCCAATGTATGTTGCTCCAGAATATATAATTATTTTTGATGACCTGAGCAACGAGTTAAAGGACCCTTCCATCCCCAAGTTGATGAAGATCCACAGGCACTTCAGTTCTAAAATTATTATTAGCACCCAATCATGGAAGGACACTGCGGCCTCTATTCGCAAAGGTAACCTGGATTATGTATTATTGTTCAAAAATATCAATGACGACACTCTTAAGATAATATATGACGAGTTGTCTTTGACGGTATCATTACTAACGTTCATGAAGATGTATCAGATAGCGACCAAAGAGAAATATCATTTCTTTTACATCTCTCGCAATGGTGATGATTACAGGATCGATTTTAATACCAATTTTCTTGTCAACTAGTATAGAAATTAACTTACAGCGCTAACATGAATCGAAAGTAGAATAATAGTAGAATTACAAAAATGACCCTCTTTAATTAGGATTAAATTAATTCTATTATTTTGAACTTCTAAACTCTATTTCTACTACAATTCTACATTGATTAGACACATACTCTTTTTCCATCATGCTCACTGCTATGGCGGTGACAGGTACTCAAAGTAGAATTGTAGTAGAATTAGGAAAATTACCTCCTGGATTTAGGATTAATTATTTTTATTATTTTGAACTTCTAAACTCTATTTCTACTACAATTCTACATTGTTGATACAGATACCTTTTTTAATAACTTTGAAGTATATAAAACTATAAAGAGAAGAATCTGGAAGTATGAAATGAAGCAGCGCCAGCTGCGTAATGTTGCGAAGCCAGCGGCGATGAGTTATCCACACACGATCAATGTCAACATACGTCCTATACAAGAAACCAAGAAGGTCATTAAATCTTATATTAATGAGATATGTACCATTCCAGAGTGTTGCTCCAGCTGAGACATTCAAGGGCGGTTCAATGGGCAAGGGTACCAACTGTGCCGATCGACATGAAGTGGACATCTGTGTTATATTCTACGGAATGATGCCCACATCTCGAGACATGAAGAAATACGTCGCTCTACTCTACAGTGCCCTGTCATCATCTCCCCAGTTTTCCAATGTCCAGGAGAGTGAGCATTCAAAGACGGTTGGGGACCCTGTATCAGGCCAGATCGAAATACACTTCAGAAGTATTGAGGTCACCTATAAAGGTGTCAAGTTTGACATATTGCCATCACCACCTCCTGTTGATGGCAAAGCACTTCAAAGATCAATGTGGTACACTACACTGAACCGAAAGACTCAGCTGCCATATGCCCATGCAACCGCCTCCCATGACCAAGTCCAGTTCATAGGAAATACCTCCGCCAAGGGCAAGGACCTGATCAGAATGGTGAAGCTCTGGACAAGGTTACCTATATGGGGGTGGTCCAAGCGGGAGAAGAACCAGCCCAGTTCATACCTCTTGGAGTTGATATCCAAGAAGGTGTTTGAGACATTGGGCAGCACCAAACAGTTGAATGACTTATTCAAGACTGTAATGCAACAACTTGCTGCTCCTTCCTTTGACATTAATTGGAGCGCTAGGTTCAAGTCAACTTGGAAGAATGTGGCTGGTCCTATCAATGGTCGTCGTGTCCTGGATCCAGTCAACGCTACCAACAACGTCTGTAGTGTTGTTAAGGATTGGAGTTTGGTTGTAAGGTATGCCTCGATCACCCTGGATATGATATCCAAGATGCCTTTCTTGAAGCCCGTCCCAACACATCCAGAAGTCTATCCACTCATCCCTTTGGAACCTCTTCTAAAGATTCCTAATGTAGTAAAGCCTCTGGTTTACTCAAACAACAAAGTCAAAGTCAGGGCATCCAGAAGATACTATGGTTCTGTTTCTTACCGACCGGATCGTAATAATTTTACATCCAAGTTCTTTTCCATCGATGGTGTAGCTGGCCAGTTACGTATTATAACCAAGAGTAGAAAGAGATCGATCAATAACATAGTTCTTCAGGTTGTGAGTGGTCCCCCTCGGATCATTTGTATCAGCTCCAGCAATGGCAACATATCATCAGATGTTCCAGGACTCATTCTTTGGCATGTTTTGATTTACCTCTCAAGGTTACATTCTCCTTCAATTGATTCTTTGGTTCATTCCCCATTTATTGATTATTTCACTCACACAATCAGTAATTCAAACAAATAAACTCAAAGTCCCAAAAAGACGAAAGACGAGTCACACCACCAGCAGTTCATCACGTGTCAGAGTGTGTTTGTTATTATAACTATGTTATCTCTACTTCGTAGTCAATGCAGAGGTGTTGCTACGAGGTCAGTACCATCCTGGTCCACGCGAACATACTTCACTCAGAAAGATGCCTCAAAGAAGAAGTGTAAGTCCAACTGATTGCCCGACACGCATGACACATTCACTCACTCAATCAATCAATCAATCAATCTTAGACTCTAGTGAGTTGGCAAAGTATAGGAATATAGGTATCATTGCCCATGTCGATGCTGGCAAGACTACAACATGCGAGCGAATGTTGTATTATTCGGGAATGATCAGAAGGATTGGTGAGGTGCACAAAGGAGATACAGTGATGGATCATTTGAAGATGGAGAGAGAGCGTGGCATCACCATCACAGCAGCAACAATCACATTCCCCTGGCAGAATCATCGAATCAATCTGGTCGACACTCCTGGCCACGTCGACTTCACAGTCGAGGTCGAGCGCAGTGTCCGTGTGATGGATGGCGCCGTCGCGATCTTTGACGCTGTGGCGGGTGTGCAGGCACAGTCGATCACTGTTTGGAATCAGGCCGATCGCTATCAGGTGCCACGCATCGCCTTTGTCAACAAGATGGATAGGGAGGGTGCCACAGCGGAGAAGACACTAAAGATGATGCAGGCGCGACTCAATGCTGTACCCCTGCCGTTGCAGATACCTGTCGATGTCGGTCCGATGTTTGGCGCCGTAGTCGACCTCGTCGACATGAAGGTCATCACATGGGAGGGTGACAAGGGCGAACAGGTCGAGATACACGACATCCTAACATATGGTGGCGAGCAATTGATGGCCCGCGCCAAGGCACACCGCGACCAGTTGCTCACCACTTTGGTCGATCTTGACGAACAACTTATGCAAGAGTACTTTGAGAAGGATGGCGATGTGTCGGATACTACATTGCGCGCGGCAGTTCGTCGCGCCACTGTTGCAATGAAGGCCGTGCCCACAATGTTTGGCTCATCACTCAAGAACAAGGGCGTGCAGCAGGTGATGGACAGTGTGATCCACTACCTGCCCTCGCCCCTGGACCGCGACCCGCCCACTGCAGTGGACATGCGCACCAACAAGACAGTGTCGATCGCAGCCAATACCAAGGACCCATTGGTCGCACTGGCCTTCAAGGTTGTGCACGACAAGCGTCGTGGACTAATTGTGTTCTCGCGAGTCTATGCAGGCGTGCTCAAGGCTGGCACAACAATATTCAACGCCAAGAAGGGAGGCGAGAAGGAGCGCGTCCAGAAGCTGCTGCAGGTGGCAGCCGACGACATGGAGGAGATCAGCGAGCTGCGAGCAGGTGACATTGGCGCCATCCTTGGACTGAGGGACGTTAGCACGGGCGACACACTGATCTACGAGCCATCCAATGACCGCGCGCTGCGGCCTGTTCTCAAAGGCATTGTCAACCCGCCGCCCGTATTCTTCTGCGCGCTCGAGCCCGACACAGAGAAGGATTACAACCCGCTGATCGAAGCGTTGGAGATCCTTCAACGTGAGGATCCTTCATTCTTATATCACATCTCTGAGGCACAGCAGATATTGATCAGTGGCATGGGCGAGCTGCACTTGGAGATCATCAAGGATAGGCTGGACAATCACTTCAAGGTGGCCTGCACGATGGGCCGCATGCAGGTATCATACAAGGGCACGATATCGGAGTCAATACGTGAGGATGACATTGTCGAGTCGTTCGACGTGCAGACCTCAGCTGGCGTTAAGACCTACACCGCTGGCGTGTCAATCTCGATGGAGCCACTGGAGCCGGGCACAGGCAATCAGATCAAGTTCGAGCTGGAAGACTCGGTCGTCGAGTCCATGGAGAAGTCTGTACTAGATCGCGTGAAACAATCAATTACAGAGGGCATCGAGTCCTCGTTCCAGCGTGGTCTTCCACTGGGCTTCCCCGTGATCGATGTGGGCGTTACAATACACGGCATCTTCTACCGCTCAGAGGCCGAGACCCCGCCCATGGCCTTCCGCAACTGTGTGATCAGGTCGATACTCAAGCTGGGCGACCAAGCTGGCGCGGTCATCTTGGAGCCGCTGATGAATCTGGAGATCTCGGTCGACGAGAAGTACCTGGGCAGCGTTCTGTCCGACCTGTCGCGCCAACGTCGCGGCACCATCAAGGAGGTGGGCATGGAGAAGAACACACATATCATCTCGGCATTGGTGCCACTCAAGGAGATGATCGGATACTCAACCCAACTGCGATCATTCACACACGGCAACGCTTCATTCACAATGGAGTACAGTCACAATGGTCGCGTGAGCGCCAACGAAGTGGCCAAAGTGTTGCAAGAGATCAGAGGTTACTGATCCTCATCCCTGCCATCCATGAGCATGTAATTAAATATAGATTTAGTAGATATAGACGATGATGAATGATAAAGTTGATTGATCATGCACTACACTACATCCACACTCTCGAGTGAATGAGTGAGTGAGTGCGTGCGCGCGTTGAGCTTACTGTTTATCTACACCGATACCATAGTCGCTGATTGAGAAGACTGGATTCTTGTTCTTGATCTCGCGATCCTTGTACATCTTGGGCAACATCTCGGATGGCTGCCACTGCTTCCTCAGGGACTCGACGTCGTTGGACACTTGATACTTGCCGCTGCTCTCGTACGATGGGCCGACAATGCCCTCGGTGTCAAAGAAGATGATCTGGGCCACGCGACGGAACACGACCAGAGGGATCGAGTAGCTGAGTGAGTTGTTGGTGATCTCCATCGTCCATCGCGATGTGTAGCCGACGTCGCCCCATCCAGCACACTTGCACACCTCGATAAAGTTGCGACCGAGCGATGAGCGCGCCTTCATCATCGTGGTGACTGTGGTGTTGCCTCCAATGAACTCGTTGGTGTGACCGAGTATAGTCTCGCCTGGCTTAATCCAAATGATGTAGTCCTCATCGTCTATATTCTCCAGCTTGATACCTGATCGCTCTGACCACACCTTTGCCTTCTCAGCGATCTGATACTGTCCCCATACTCTATTGACCATTGTCTGACTGTATGGGTTGTAGATACCTAGTGTGCGTATGTGTGTGTGTGTGTGTCTCTACAATGTCAGTTCATGTCGTCATTCATCACTCACTATAAGTCGTCGACTTACCTTGCCCAGCCTCTGGCAGTGTTTCTCTATAGTAGTATGGACCAAGTGTGACATCATAACTGCTTGTAGACAAGTTCTCTCTAATGAATGGTGAGATTGTGATTGTTCCCTTCTGCATATGGCTCAATATAGCCTTATCACTTAATAAACTTCTCTCCATTATATTTGTATTATATATATATCTAATTATTATCTCTTCTTCTTCTTTGATTGAATGATAAAAGTTGGATTGAACTTGAATAAGATTGGCAGGAAGTTCAAAATAATGTCCAAGAATGAATATTAGGAGGTGGGTTGATTGACAGAATGACATTAGGCTTGATTAGGGGAGGGTGGGATCTACAAAGACCAAAATGGTAATGATTACTACTCTTGTACAATGAGGAGATGATATAAGCCATCCTTCAATCCATTCATTCATTCATTCACTCCCCATCTCACTCTCTATTTACAAACTTACTTGCTTACCTACTTACTTATAACTATAAAATACAAATAATATTATAACTATATACCTATTCTTATTAATATTAATACTTTAATTAGTTTGATATTCTATTAATATGTCCGAGGCTGTATTAGAACATACTATTCCTGTATTAGTTTATATGTGGAATGAAGAGGGCTTGGTAGAAAGAGTTGATACAACTGATCCAAAGAGGTCCACAAAGGAAGCCATCAAGAAGACCATTATGGAGTGTATCTCTCTCCATCAGGGAGTTGAGATGTCAAAATCTGGATGCTTATTCTCCTTCCCTTCAGACTCTGCTATGCACACCTGTCTTGGATCGATGAAGTCTCAATACCGTTGGACAATGTACACTGAAGACCCTGAACATACCAACATGCTCTGTACAGTGCCTCTTGCCGAAGTTCATTTTATCAATGTAATGTGCACTCCTGAGGAGGTCTCATCATTGACCTACGTCTTCAAAGTATGAGGGTTGGTGTCCATTACAAGAAAGTTGGTTTACCTCAACATCACTGGCGTCAAATCCAATCAAAGTTTAGTCATTATTATTATTATTATATATAAATATAAACGTGATGTTTATGGCAACTCTAAGCAACTTATTGTTCACATCAATCGTTAGATTGTTGCATACCTCTAATGATGTGGACAAGAAATGGTTGAGGACGTTGTCAATGGTAAACTGGTCATTTCATTCAATGATCCGAGCTTTGAACACTCAACTCATAATCAATGTTGATGCTCATTTAAAATATGATCATGATCATAGTTTAAGCGCTAGACCACTGGGCTACGATGACGTGACTATGATTGACTCATTGTTCGATATAACACTCCATCTTGACAACAAGTACTCTTTATATCATTCACAACACATCACTACGATCATACTACAAGGTAAAGATGATCCCACCGGTGATCCAGTACCCTGGTCCACCATCGAACGATCATTCCCAACACAATCACTGGAACACAAGAAGAACGATATCAATGCACTGTTTCAATCACTCACTGCTCGACCAAACAGCACTGTCACTGTTGCAATCAGACATGTGTTTGCAGGACAGGTGGCTCAACTAATTGAGAACTATTCACTTGATCCACAATCAATCGACTCACTGGTGGTCAATAATCTGTTCCCTCAAACATTCCAGAGTATGGTTGATCGACTTCCAATCAACAATCAACTCAAGACGCTTGACCTCAGAGTCTTGACAGTGTTGTGCTGCTCTAAAAGGGAAGACCTCATCAAGATCGAATATCAGTTATATTGCAATGAGTTGATTGAACGATGCACCAACATGACATCACTCAGCATCTATGATGAATGCGGCAGCGGTCACACTGGATACTCAGAGTACGTCGTTGGCAAAGCAGACCAATTCTTTGGGATGCTTGATCAGTTGCCACACCTCGTGTCACTCTCATTTGGATTCGATACGTCTTGTGGACATGATCACGTAGACCCACTCGAGGATGAGGACCGTCAATCATTTCTTGCCGAACTCATCTCATTCATGCAACGAAGACCATCATTCCACACACTATCATTGCGCAATTACCTGGAGGACACTGAGTCGTATGACAATGACGATGATAACGATGACGAGCCTAAGTCAGAGCATCTGCCCATCTTGGATTACCTGTTCACCGATGTCACTTGTCCTGTGCAGCACCTGACACTTGAGCTCTGGGGCGCCAAGTTGCCAGTTCTACAGAGACGAATCAACACACTGGTGTTGAAAGAATGGTCCCGTCCTGGATATAGCCAGATATCATGGCATCAAGATATGGCCATGATTGCCCATTTAAAAACAATGGTTGACGACAAACTTGACCTCTCTGGCTACTCGATGAGACGACCAAAAGAGTGTGAATTGGACAAAGAGTTTCGCCTAGAGTCATTATATGGTCCACGTCAATACATTCCACCATTGTTAAATTGATAAGATAGAGATGGATAGTATTATTGCAGTCAACCAATCATAATTAATATTAAGAGGTAGGAAATAAAACCCTTACCCTTGTCTGGAACCTCTTCAAATCAAGTTGAACATATGATTTGAATATTATTTATTATGATCAAACATATAATAGAATAGCTATCTATACAAACAAGAAGATGACAACTCTGAGCATGTTGACATCAATCGTTAGGTTGTTGCGCACATCTAATGATGTGGACAGGAGATAGATGGTCGAGGACATTGTCATTGGTAAACTGGTCATTTCACTCAATGATCCAATCATTGAACACTCAACTCATTATCAATGTTGATGCTCATTCAGAATGTGATCATGATCATAGATTAAGCGCTAGACCACTGGACTACGATGACGTGACTATGATTGACTCATTGTTCGATATAACACTCCATCTTGACAACAAGTACTCTTTATATCATTCACAACACATCACTACGATCATACTACAAGGTAAAGATGATCCCACCGGTGATCCAGTACCCTGGTCCACCATCGAACGATCATTCCCAACAAAATCACTGGAACACAAGAAGAACGATATCAATGCACTGTTTCAATCACTCACCGCTCGACCTCATAGCACTGTCACTGTGGCAGTCAGACATGTGTTTGCAGGACAGGTGGCTCAACTGATTGAGAACTATTCACTTGATCCACAATCAATCGACTCACTGGTGATCAACATTCGGCTCCCTGAAGCATTCCAGAGTATGGTTGTGCGACTTCCAACCAACAACCAAGTCAAGACCCTTGACCTCTGGGTTTTGAATTCATATTGCTGTATTATGACATTTGACTACGTTGGGGACCATTCTCAATTGTATTGCAATGAGTTGATTGAACGCTGTACCAACATGACATCACTCAGGATCAATGATAAATGTAGCAGTAGTCACACCGGATACTCAGTGTACGTCGTTGGCGAATCACAACAATTCTTTGGCACGCTTGATAAATTGCCACACCTAGTGTCACTCTCAATTGGATTCGATTCATCTTGTGGACATGATTACGAAGATCCACTCGAGGATGAGGACCATCAATCATTTCTTGCCGAACTCGTCTCATTCATGCGACATAGATCATCATTCCTCACACTATCACTGCGCAATTACCTAAAGATACTGATTCGTATGGCAATGATGACGATGGCGACGAGCCCAAGTCTGAGTATCTGCCCATCATTGACTACCTGTTCACCGATGTCACTTGTCCTGTGCGGCACCTTACACTTTGGCTCTCGGGCGCCAAGTTGCCCATTCTACAGAGACGAATCAACACACTGGTGTTGAATACATTGTACCGTCCTAAATATAACGAGATATCATGGCATCAAGATATGGCCATGATTGCCCATTTAAAGACAATGGTCAATGACAAGCTTGACCTCGCTAACTTTGAGCTGATACAACCAAAAACTGGATGTGAATTGGACAATGAGTTTCGCTTCGTGTCATTAAATGGTCCACGTCAATATATTCCACCATTGATATATAGCGATAGTGATGGAGATATTATTTCAATCAATAAATAAAATTTTTATTATTAAATTCCAGCGTCGAAGTCAGAATTAAACCCTTACCCTACCCTTGCCCTTGCCCTCTCATAACAAATTTGAAAATGATGTTCATTGTCTAGGTGCGCCCAAAGAGAGATAGACATATAGATAATGGATGAAGAGCCAACAAATAATGATGATGTTGATGCTCAAGCAACAGGAGCAGCAGCAACAACAGCAGTTGACTATGTATTACCAGAGGACTCGGAACTTGATCAATGCCCTCAACAAAAGACATTTGTAAAAGAGGCTGAAGAACTCAAACAGTTGATCGACATGATTGCCCTCTCAATCAATGGTCCATTGGACCAACTAGACACGGCAACATCACGAATCATCGCTGTTCTCGAACAATATCAAGAGCAATCGAACCTACTTGACATGCATCTCGTCGGCATGGTCACCCCGCTCATACAAGTCATTCGCACGTACATCATGGCGCGTCACGAACAACAAGAGGTGTCAGTATCATCGAGTACACGACCTCCCGCCAACCTATCACACTGCTATCGTCTCCTGTACTTCTTGACAAAGGTACGAGGCTACAAGACCATCGTGAAGCTACTGCCCCACTCTGTGGTCGAGCTGCTTCCCACGGCGTCATTGCTCGAGCAGCGCACCATCCTCTTCCTCAACAGCCCACACGCGCAGGCACTGGACATTCAGATGCAGAATGAACAACAGAAGGAGCATCGCGATACGGACATGGTGTCGTGGGAGGAGCTGTATGTGCTCTCTCTCTGGCTCTCACTGCTCATCATCATTCCGTTCAAGTTCACGTCGATTGATGGACGCACGACCAATGACGTCGAGAGTCTGGCCTCGCGAGTCATCGCCCTCGCCAAGAAAGCCCTGACACACCACTCCAAGATACAGGAGTCCTTCTCTGAGCTACTCTCTCGCCTTCTGGCCCGCCCCGACATGACCAGCAACCTGCAGGCCTTCATTGATTGGTGCTCTCGGTCAATGTCAGACATTCGACAGCGTCGCTCGGCTCACATCACCGACCACGTGGACATCCATCTCTATAAGGGTGTGCTGCTCACACTGACCAGCATCTACAAGAAGGGCGACAGGGCTGCACTGCTACCACTCAATCAAACTTTATACCAAATGGTCGTGCAAGGGCTGGACCCAACTCGCACGCCACTCGACATTGAGCGCATGTGCAAACAACTACTGGTCAAGCTACTCCAACGCATGGGCCTCATCCTTCTGCCTCCAATAACGGCCACATGGCGATACCAACGAATAATCAAACCTTTGTTGGCCACTCAACAACAGATCAACTTCTCAGAGAGCGATCACAATCAATCACAATCCAAACTCGATGATGATGGTGCAGAGGACGAACAAGATATACCCGAGGAGATTGAAGAGATCATTGAGTTGCTGATATCCGAGGGGCTTGGCGATCGCGACACAATCGTGAGATGGACAAGCGCCAAAGGTGTTGGACGCGTGGTCAACCTGCTATCAAAAGATATGGGCGGCCAGGTAATCGAGTCTGTGCTGCAGCTGTTTGACAATGTCGACTCGGACTCGGCGTGGCATGGAGGATGTCTGGCGATGGCCGAGCTCTGTCGACGCGGCCTCATTCTCCCCGATCGCCTAGCCCAACTCATTCCAATCGTGGTCAAGGCGCTGTACTTTGATGTGCAGCGAGGCAACAGTAGTGTGGGCTATAACGTACGTGACGCAGCGTGCTACATCTCATGGGCGTTGGCACGCACCTATCATCCATCGATCATGTCACCATACTCGTACCTCCTGGCTCAGCATCTGGTCGTCATGTCACTGTTTGATCGCGAGATCAACTGTCGCAAGTCTGCATCGGCGGCCTATCAAGAGAATGTTGGTCGACAGGGCGCGGCAATCCCGCATGGCATCGACATTGTTCAGATGGCCGACTACTTTTCCGTTGGCAACAGACGCAATGCCTATCTTGTTCTGGCGCCAGAGATTGCAACATTTGTCGAGTATCGTCCAGCAATCATATCACATCTTTTACAAACAAAGATATATCATTGGGATGCTGACATTCGCGAGTTGGCCACGAGAACACTTGCATTGGTCGTACCATTGGACACGCGGGCCATTGTCGATTCACTTCCCAAAGTGATTGCGGCCACCAAGCTAGACCAGATCCCCTCCAAGCACGGTGCACTACTAGCACTTCACGAGATCCTTATCGCACTAAATTCAATCAATCAATCAATATTGCTGTCTGATGATATCACAAATGTATGTTATCCCCACTCCATACTCGCGCACTCATACTTACTCAATCAATCAATATAGAGTATACTTGCTGTGATCAAGGACAAGAGATTAGAAAGATTGTATAAGGGCAAGGGTGGTGTACTCATCAGAACTGGAATATGCAAGTTGATCAGATCAGTTTGTTTGTGTCAATTCTCATTGTTCAGGGAGATCAAGGATGAAACATCGACATCAAACGCATCCACATCACTACGCGATAAGATACAAATGATGAAAGCTAAAGCCAGTAAGCTTCCAGCTTCCACACCCGGCTCACGCAACACATCTACACCATCAATCACTCAAACAACCAACCCAACTACCACTGCCTCTGCCACTGCATCGGGCCTTAACGCCTTTGAGACACTATACTCATATCTACTTGAATGCATTCAACATCCACACGAGGACGTACAACAACAAGCATCAATGGCACTGGAGGTATTGTTCAAGAACTACATGGTATCAGATACAGCTAAGATTGAACAGTTGGCAACCTTGGTCACCAAATACATCAGTCTGCTACATAGTGATCCCAACTATGCGACGAGGAGAGGTGCCTCATTGCTATTGGGTGTGCTTCCCTACCAACTTCTACAAACTCATCCCAACCTGCTACACTCTGTCATTGATGCATTGGTCAAATCATTGTTTGAAGAGCGACCACAGCTGAAGGACATGGAGACGCGAGTCAACTCATTGTCATCGCTTCACAACATCTCAAAGTCATTATACCAACACAAACTGATTGATGGACCTACATTGGAGGCACTACTGTCAGCTCTAATGCGCGCGACTCAGGACTACTCGATTGACAAGAGAGGCGATGTTGGATCATGGGTGAGGGAGTCGTCCATCAAGATCATCGACACATTGATCACCCAGGAGGTCGAGACACTCCTACCACAAGGATTTGTCGAGCGCTACATGTGCAAGCTTATACAGATTGCCGGAGAAAAGCTTGACAAACTTAGAATGACATCTTGTACAATCTTGTCAAGTCTGCTGTGGAGAGCACCACAGCTCGTCCCCGACTCTGCTCAACTCCAGTCGATATTCAAGCAGGACTTGGAGATCACCTGGTCTCGAAGCATTGAGGCATTCCCAATCATTTGCAAAGTGTTGGCAATCGATCGGTACATATACCCTCTTCTCTTTGGACTATTATCATCAATTGGTGGATCAACAAAGTATTTGGTCGACGACTCTATCGATTCAATCAAATTGTATCTCAATGAACCTGATGATGTTAAGACCAAACAACAAAACATTGTTCGAATCGCAACAACATTGGTCACTATTCTGGAACATATCCGTGAGCGGCCACTGCTTGCAACATTCAAAGCCATGACCATACTATTCCAAACCAATGAGTTTGACACTCTGGTGTCAAGCCAGCCCGACATCATCAACTCCATATTCTCCAAGCTCCACAAAGAATATCGATCAATCAAGGATATCGTACTCCTCATGGCATCAGTTCCATTGTATGTAACTATACTTCACTTGCATGTTCATTGAACTAACCAACATATTCTTCATCCTAACAATCAGGTTTGCCTACTTTACAAATGATTGTTTCGACAACACCAAGAGAATTGCCAATGAGGTGTTGATACACTTGATGAAGCATGAATATCCTCGCGTAAGGATGTCCGCAGCCGAGGCCATTTTGATACGTTACAAGGATGCTCAGACCATTGTAACCTTGATCAGTGGCACAAGATGGGAACAGACGATTGACAACAATATTATAGATCAACTATGTCTTCAACTTGGAATCACATCCTCCCCAACAATCAACAACACCAATGTGCCAACCGCCACACTCAACGATGATCATCAAAAGGAAGTACCAACAGGCATCCCAGTGGTCACTTCTTATGATGCACTTCCAGAGGACTCGGAAGACCTGATGGAGATATAAAGTTGATTGATATTGATCGATTGATTGATTCGATCAGAAACATTTATTGAAGCCTATCTCTTTGGAATAGGACTTGACGAAGGTGGACTCTCCCAACTTGCTTGCAGAGGCAACCCTCGCTCCATTGTTGTTATGCATTGATCGATCAAATATTATGTTACCATCGAAGTGTCCATCTCCATAGTCGTCCATATCGTAGTATAGTAACAAACTCTTGTCAGTGTCCATTTGGGGATCATTCCACACAAGATGTTTGACCTCCTCATCACTTAAAGACCTATTGAATATTGCAATATTATCCATTCTTCCATGATATGTACCCGATGTTCTGTTGATGAATATTGTTAGTGATCAAATAGTTGATGACCTGAACAACTTTAAACATACCTCTGACCAAATGAGAATGACGAACCAATTACCAATGGCCATCTGTTAATTACTGTTGGCTCAAAGTGATTGGTATATCCATCGGGCTCACCATTAATGTAAAAGACCACCTTGTTATCCAATAACTCCTTGTTTCCAACATCATAAACAACTGCCACATGAGTCCAAACATTGGCTGGAATTGACTTTGTTGAATGGAAGCACATTCCACCTGCGCACAATCTCAACTCTCCACGAACTTTAGACGTCCTTTGTAAATCAAAGTCGATACCTATAATAAGATTGTCATGAAGTATGTTAGTATTAGGGTAGTTTCATTGAGTAAATGAGTTGGTGGAATACATACCATCCAAGGCACCATTGGTACCCTTGTCAATTAGTCTTTGGTCTCCAAATGTTAATGGTTTGACCCATGCCATGAGGGTATAATGATAAGTTAAATCGAACATCTTTGCCTGGCTGACTAGGATATGATCACCCTGACCTTGCATTGACAATTCATAAGGTTGATGCACCAGTTTGTTCTTGAATCGATTCAACTTGTTGTCATGTGCCTCTTGAGATAACTGAGAGTAGGCATACTTGCATAACTCGCACTTGGTCTTGAATCCACCAACACACTTTGATAACTTGTCAATTACCTTTTGTTCAATTGGCTTTGATTTCCATTCAAAGAATGTTCGCATCTTCAATGGATTGATGAGAAGGTCGACCAGGTAGATTGCCAACTGAGAAGGAGAACCAAAGCTGGAAGCCTTGATGATTGAGCCTGTTGGTACCCAATCATCAATGTTTGATGCACCCATATAGACTGGAATTGATCCGGAATAGAGAGCACTGTATACCTTCTCCGATACAAAGTCGGTTGAGTTCTCATTCTCAAAGGTGAATACAAACTTGTACTTCTTCATCACCTCAATGTTGTCCTTGACTCTCTGGAACACATCCCTATCTCCAAACTCCACCTTGGACTTGGCAACATTGTTCAGGCAATCACCAGCCGAATCAATTCTAATGTGTTCCATCAATTCCTTGATGTATAACTAACGTGGAATAGTTAGTACCAATTATAAATGGTTGAAATAATTGATGATCCTTACCGTCCTGGAATGTGCATTGGCATTCTTGCAATTGGATGAGAGGAATACATAGTTGTTGGGACGAGTGATCAGGTCGGACTCTTGCATTAGGAGTTGAATTGTTGAGTTGATTGACATATCATGACTGGGTGGACATGCCAAGGTCATTTGAACAGGTGACTCTAATGTTTGATTGAACTCATCTTGTAGTATATCTCTAAACTTGTCATTTCCAATAATGCCATATTGAGATGATGAATGATAGTTGAGTAGTCCAAATCGCTGGTGCTTGTACCTTTGTGGGATGGACAATGGTACATGCTTCCACTTGTTTCCCTCTCCCATCATTGAAGGATCGAACAACACCATATCTGCGCTGGTCAGTTCTGTCTCATGTCCATCTGTGAATAGACATGATACCTGGCACTCTCCATCCTCGACAACTCTATCCTCCAAAGGTATCCTCCTATTGTCCTCGGTCTGAATGAAGTCGTGTAGCTCTCTAACGGTGCCGGGGATTGGTGTCTGATCATTGTCCACATTGATCGGTTGTTCAATATATTTGGTAGGACCTGGCAACACTGGACTCTTGATCATACCAGTGGTATCTCTTGATTTAATCTGTGCCTTCCATAACAATATTGTTATCTCTTCTTTTGGTATTATCTTTTCAATTGGACGATGATGAACCAGACTAACAACCATGGGGCCTGATGACAATGCTACTGAAGGGTCTTGGAATACCACAAAGTAGAGGAAGAAACAGAACACTGCAAATACCAATGCACCTGTTATTATAAAGAACTTTGGTCCTCTCCTTGTCAATCTTGCGTTGGACTTTACAAGTCCTTCCAATAAAGGATCAGGGTCCATTCTATATTTGATTATTTATATGTATGATTGATTGATTGACTGATTGATTGAGGCCTTGTTGATTAACATCTTGATGTGATTGTTTGATGTTGTTAATGCCACCACGGCAGCTTCAATGTATATTATATGATCACATGATCAATGAGTAGAGCATGAGTGTTATGTGGCCTCCATTGAGTACCTCAACAAGGGGGTGGTATGGAACTGGAAACACCTTGTTGATCAGTCACACACAAACAAACACACTAACCTGATCAATCACTTACACACACATGTGGCTAAGTGATGACACACACAAACATAGATAGAGTTAGAGAATAATATGTTGTTACGTAAAGGGGATGGGTTTGGATCGAAAGGAAACTGATATAAGGTAAGGGATGTTTATTCGAACAATTGAAGGTACCTTGTTTAGGAAGGTACACTTATGAAATAAATATCAATTGCTTCTTAATATCTGTATCCGTCGGACTTGAATGGACCCTGGACTGGGACGTCGAGGTACTTGGACTGAGCGTCAGTCAAGACGGTGAGCTTGGCACCGAGGATATCGAGATGGAGACGGGCAACCTCCTCGTCCAAGATCTTTGGCAAGAGGTGGACACCAATTGGGTACTTCTCAATGTCGGTCCACAGAGCAATCTGGGCCAGAGTCTGGTTGGAGAAGGAGTTGGACATGACGAACGATGGGTGACCGGTGGCACAGCCAAGGTTGACGAGACGACCCTCAGCGAGGAGAATGATGTGACGGCCATTCTTCATGGTGTAACGGTCGACTTGTGGCTTGACGTTGATCTTGGTGGCGTTGGCGTTCAACCAGGCGACGTCGATCTCGATATCAAAGTGACCAATGTTGCAGACGATGGCATCCTCCTTCATCTCAACAAAGTGCTTGGAGGTGATGATGTCACGGCAACCGGTGGTGGTGACAAAGATGTTTCCTTGGGAGGCAGCCTCCTCCATGGTGACGATCTGGAAGCCGTCCATGCAGGCCTGGAGGGCGTTGATTGGGTCGATCTCAGTGATGAGGACACGGGCACCCTGTCTGGCGAGACACTGGACGCATCCCTTACCGACATCACCGTAACCGGCAACGACGGCGACCTTTCCGGCAATCATGACGTCGGTGGCACGCTTGATACCATCGATCAAAGACTCACGGCAACCGTAGAGGTTGTCGAACTTGGACTTGGTGACAGAGTCGTTGACGTTGATGGCTGGCAGCTTGAGCTTGCCCTCCTTGTGCATTCTGTAGAGGTTGTGGACACCGGTGGTGGTCTCCTCAGAGATACCTCTGATTCCAGCGAGCAAGTTGGGGTACTTCTCGTGGATGAGGTTGGTGAGGTCTCCACCGTCGTCGAGGATCATGTTGAGTGGCTGACCGTCTGGGAAGATGAGGGTCTGCTCAATGCACCACATGTACTCCTCCTCGGTCTCTCCCTTCCAGGCGTAGACGGGCACACCAGTCTTGGCGATGGCGGCGGCGGCCTGATCCTGGGTGGAGAAGATGTTGCATGAGGACCACTGGACCTCAGCACCGAGAGCGGTGAGGGTCTCGATGAGGACGGCAGTCTGGATGGTCATGTGGAGGCAACCGGCAATACGGGCACCCTTGAGGATCTGGGCTGGGCCATACTTCTTGCGAAGAGCCATGAGACCTGGCATCTCATTCTCGGCAATGTCGAGCTCCTTGCGACCCCACTCAGCGAGGGTGATATCCTTGACCTTGTATGGAAGCTTCTTTTCAGCAGACATTTCTTTCTAAAATATTATTAATTAATTAGTTAGTTAATTATTATTTGTTTGATTGAGAGATAGAGATAGAGATGGTCGAGAATGAGTGATGATGTTTTAAAAAGAACACACATTATTATATTATTATTATCAAGATTGCTGAAGTGTTGGTTGGTGTTGTTCGGCGGAACAAACAAATTGAAGTGAAGTGGGAGTGTAGTGAATGATGTTGTACATTTCAAAATTTAGGGGTGTTATGTGTGATGCCATCCAATCATGAACATTTCGTGTTAACAGTAATCCAATGAATGAATGAACAACAAGGGTAAGGTAGAGGTTGTTGTGGTTACCCTAGAGTGTATGACAAAATAAGGTATCTGGTCGAATAGTCGCGACTATAATGTGTTGGACACTACTACTAGAGAGGAGATAACAGGAGGACTATGGCTGGGGAGGCTTACCTAGTTGTATGAGAGTATGGGTATATATTTGTCGACAAACGGGTGGGTAGGTGAACTGAAGAGCAAACAATGACTAATCGAGGTTCTTATTGTTGAAGACGAAGAAGGGACTATTGCAAACTTTAAATCAATAAAAACAAAACTTTTCAGTTCAAATTGAATTAAAATGAATTAATTTCTCACTCTCGATATGGTAGATATTTGAACAACGAGCCCCAGCTCAAGGAAGGAGCAACAGGAGGAGAGGAATAATAAAGTGTGTGGGGCTTCGTCACGGTCCCAACGTGTCAACATTAGTTGCCCTAAGATGGCACCACTTATGTGTTGCAATTGGTCATAAACACACCACCAACAACAAAGGCTTAGCCGCAAGACGCGACACGCTACGCTCCACCATGAGTCACTTCCCAACTAGCCAGCACCATGAGTATCGTATTCCTACCTCCAATCCAGATCCGCATGCGTGTGCACATTTATAATCATTGAGGTGCAAAGCAAAGTTTGTTATTTATTTTAGTAAAAGGTAGAATATTTGACCTTGATCTACTTATCTAATCTAGTTTATGTTTATTCATTCATAGTGATACAACACAACTTATTGTTAAGCTAACTCAAACACACAAGACTTGTCAAAGAAAAATTGAAGACTGACTTTGGTGTGTGAAAGAAAAGACACTTCGATTGCTGAGACTGAGATGATCCCAGGCTGCGCTGAGTGAGTGTGTCAGTTGCGTTTGTTGGATGAACAAACTTTCATTCAAATTATAATTTGTTCTCATATTAATCAATCTAAATAAACAATAATATATATATACAAATACAACCTTTACTTAGTTGTAGTACCTGTACAAACAATCAATCAATCACACAAATATAACAAAGAATGGAGAGTATGTACATCATTGATCAAGCCTGTCTTGCCAAGTGAATGAACTAACAAGAATGAATGAATGATATGATATAGATCAACTGTTTCAACTAAAGTTTACATCAAAGACATTGGAGAGACAATCAAAGAAGTCTGAGCAGAATGAGAAGGCTCAGAAATTGAAGTTGAAGAAGGCTATTGAACAGGGTAATATGGAGGGTGCAAAGATATATGCACAGAATGCTATACGTGAGAAGAACCAGAGTTTGAACTACTTGAGATTGGCATCTAGAATCGATGCCGTGGCATCTCGTGTCGAGACAGCCATCAGAATGAAGGCTGTGACCGGATCGATGGCAAGCATCGTCAAGAACATGGAGAAGTCGATGCGTGCGATGGACCTCGAGAAGATCACACAGGTTATGGATCAGTTCGAGCGTCAGTTTGAGGACCTGGACGTCCAATCCGTCTACGTTGAGAACGCAATGAACCAGACCACCACCCTTTCCACACCAGCCGACCAAGTCGATCTCCTCATCTCACAGGTGGCCGACGAGCACGGTCTCAACGTTGGCATGCAGATGGGTTCCGTACCATCAGAGAAGGTGCAACAGGTAGAGACAGACGAGTTGACCGAGAGACTGAACAAGTATGTATCACAGCTTACATGCTTTCCTTTGCTTCATTCAGGACAAGTATGTACTAACTAATATCGATCACTAGGTTGAAGCAGAAGAGCTAAAGAACATGACACGATGTCATTCAATCAATCAATCATTCATTCGATCGACATACTTAAGTTGACATGTTGTATTTGTATAGTTATTTAAACAACTGATGCATTGCCAAGAGCGCTAGCAATAAACAGGTTCGTTCAACATGGACACCAGTCATCAATCAATCACACCGTCTTTACTTCCGAGTCCTTTCCCTGATCACGTAAGTCTCAAAACAAACTTGACATTTTTATTATTATAATTGTTATTATTACATATACAAAGAAGAAGAAGATGACAACTCTAAGCAACTTGTTGTTGACATCAATCGTTAGGTTGTTGCGCACATCTAATGATGTGGACAAGAAATGGTCGAGGACATTGTCATTGGTAAACTGGTCATTTCATTCAATTATCCAATCATTGAACACTCAACTCATAATCAATGTTGATGCTCATTCAAAATGTGATCATGATAATGAACTAAACGCAAGACCACTGGACTACGATGACGTGATAATGGTTGACTCATTGTTCGATATAACACTCCATCTTGACAACAAGTACTCTCTTCACCAATCACAACACATCACTACGATCATACTACAAGGCGTTGATGATCCCAAGGGTGATCCAGTACACTCACCTATCATCAAGCCATCATACCCAACACAATCACTGGAACACAAGAAGAAGAGTATCCAGTCACTGTTTCAATCACTGACTGCTCGACCAAACAGCAATGTCACTGTTGCCATGAGGCACGTGTTTGCAGGACAGGTGGCTCAACTGATTGAGAACTATTCCCTGGATCCACAATCAATTGATTCACTGGATGTCAATAATCTGTTCCCTCAAACATTCCAGAGTATGGTTGAGGGATTTCCAATCAACAACCAACTCAAGACACTTGACCTCAGAGTTTTGGGTCCAACCTGCTGCGATAAAGAAGAGTATGATGCCTCCTTCGAGAAGATCGAAGCTAGTTTGTATTGCAATGAGTTGATTGAACGTTGCCCAAACATAGAATCACTCTGCATCTTTGATGAATGTGGCAGCCAACACACTGGATACTCAAACGACGTCGTTGGCAAACCAGAGGAATTCTTTGGCATGCTAGATGAGTTGCCACACCTCGTGTCACTCTCCTTTAAATTCCAAGCATCTTGTGAGAATGATAATAGGGAGCGCGAAGACCCTCTCACCGATGAGGACCGTCAATCATTTCTTGCCGAACTAATCTCATTCATTGAGCAAAGACCATCTTTCCACACCCTAGCATTGGGTTGTTTCCTGGACATTGAGTCGGACATCTTGGACTATCTGTTCACCGATGACACGTGTCCTGTTCAGCATCTGACACTGAGGGTCTCGGACTCGATCGAACTGCCAGCTCTACAGCGACCAATCAACACTCTGGTGCTGAAGCAACCCTACGTTCGTAGTGAGGAATCATGGCATCAAGATATGGCGATGGTTGTCCATTTGAAGACAATGGTCAACAACAAACTTGACCTCTCTGGCTGTTCGTTCAAACAACCTGCAACAACAGGATGTGAGTTGGACTATGACTTTCGCTTTGGGTCATTCAATGGACTTCAATACATTCCACCATTGATATATAGTATCTATAATTTCCATCGTGATAAACAAATTATCGCAATAAAGACCAACAACCAGAAGTAAATCCATCTCTTACTTTGCCCTTCCTAACCCTAACCCTTCCCTTGCCTTTACTCTAGTGACGTCAATACAACAAAGGAACACATGAAATGGACAGGGCTGGACTGGACACATGGATAGATAATAGATACTATATTTACACACTTGATTTATTATCAGTAGCGGATGAATGATTGAGTTGAATTGATTGATTGATTGAATGATTGATGCCTTCTAAACTTAAGTAGGAGGAGGATGATGGATTGATTGATTGAACTCCTGGAGCAGGATGTTGGACGATGACTATGCTATTTCAAACTTGATCTTTTGTTTGAGCATATTACGTGGACGAAGTTGAGTTAGAGTTGAACGAGGTGTGGCCGGCGCAGTGCCCAGAGGCTCAGGTGCCTTGCTGCTCAAGACCTTTGTCTTGATTGGCGTGATGGCCGGTGTCTTGGCGGGCTGCTTAAATATGGCCGATGTCTTGGACACCAACGTCTTGGGTTTGGAGACCTGCACGTCGCTCTCGTCATCTGAGCTGGACGACAGGCGTTGCTGGATCTTGGGCGCCAGCTTGCGCTTTGAGTACGACTTGTTGTCGGCCAGCAGTGAGGAGGAGGATGACGACGAGGTGGACGAGCTGCTGGTGGATGATGAGGCAGTGTTGCTAGCAGTCTGGTTGATGGACATGGCCGACGATGTCTTGTTGAGGCGCGATGGGCTGGACAGGGTGTAGGTGAGCTTGCTGTTCTTGGCGGCACCGATTGGTGAGGTGGGCGGCGAGATGGCCAGTTGTGGTGACGAGGTCGACTTGATTGGCGACATTGGGTGGTGCGATGGGCTGGACATTGACGCAGGTATTGAGTGATCATCATCGATGATGATTGGTGTGGGTCTGGACTTGGTCTTGACTTGAGAAGATGACGATGTGGACTTGGCGGATGAAGACACTGTTGGCGCCACGGTGGTGGTAGTCTTCTTGGAGGATGAGGACGATATTGGCAGCACCTTGGAGAGCAGTTTGATCTTCTTCTCGGGCTCCTTTGGCTTGGAGTCGCTGCGGCTACCCTTGGACGAGAGTGACTTCTTGTCCTTTTCTTTCTCCATCTTCTCGCGTTCCTTCTCACGCTCCTTGAGTCTCTCCTTCTCAGCCTTTCTCTCTCTTTCGCGCTCCTTCTCACGCTCTTTCTCACGCTCCTTCTCACGTTCCTTCTCTCTCTCGCGTTCCTTCTCCTTCTCACGCTCACGCTCCTTCTCTCTTTCGCGTTCTCTCTCACGCTCCTTCTCCTTCTCCTTCTCACGCTCGCGCAGATCTTTGTCGCGTACTTCCTTCTCTCTCTCCTTGTCGCGTAGGAATGATGAGGCTGATGAGGCCAGGTCCTTGCTTGAGGCTGACAGCATGTCCTTGGTCTTCATCAGGATCTTCTTGGACTTTGACGAGCTCTTGGAGGACTTGATCGAAGCGTCATCCTTCTCGCTGATGTCTATCTCTTGCCATTCGTCCATCTGGATCTGGGCGATCTCATAGTCAATGTCCTCGTCGTCCATGGCCTGCATGAGCAGACTGCCATCGATCGATTGGTCAGTGACGCAGCGATCAGGTGTCCACTGGGACACGGTCGACATGGTGGTGGGCGTGCCAGTGACAGTGTTTGTGCGTGCGGGGCTAGAGTTGCCCAACAGACTGTTGCTGCTGCCGGGGATGATCTCAGTGTCGGTGAAGCGCACTGAGTAGCCGTTGCCGCTGACCGACTTCTCGATATCGCCCTTGTACAGAGTTCTGTGGTCGTTGCCATCGTTGATCAGGGCCACCTTGGCACCGTAGATGCGCGCCTTGGCCGGTGTCACATTCTTCATGTTCTTGAATGGCGTCAGCTGGTTGACCAGGCTGTGATGCTTCATGCTGTCCTTCTCCTTGAGCTGGTCGTTGAAGGACTGGCTGAGGAATGACGAGTCGTCCATGCGCTGACGCAGCTTGGCAAGCTCATCTTGTAGTGCCTGTTTCTCGCGACGCTCCTGAAGCAGCTGACCCTGTAGCACGTTGTTCTCGGCGGCGATCTTCTCCTTGTACTGCTGCAGCTCAATCTCCATCGAGGCTTTCTTCTCTTCGATCTCCAGGTCGTGCTGCTCCTGTAGCAGCGAGCCCTTGGTCTGGAAGTTGAGCAGCTCGGCGATCAGGTTGTTCTTCTCGGTCTCGAGCTCACGCTTGCTGTTCTTGAGGCTGAGGATCTTCATCAGGTTCTCGTCCTTGTGCTTCTTGTTCTGCTCCGAGTCGGCGATCGCCTGCTCCAGACGGCCCATCAGCTCGTCCTTCTCAGCGCGCATCGACTCAATCTTGGCGTTGAACTCTTGGTCGCGCTTGGACGTGTCCTCCTTGATCTGGACATTGTTGAGTCTGTTGTGCAGGCTGAGCTTGGACTGCAGTGTCTGCTCCATCAGCTTGGCCTCGCGCACCAAACGTGTCTTGAATGAAGCTTCCATGTTTTGGAAGGCCATGGCGGCTTCCTGTCCGACCTGCTCGCGGATACTGGTCTCCATCTGTGCGGCCTTGATCTCAGCGGCGCACAACTTCTCGTGGAAGGCGTGTATCTGGTCCAGCAACTGGTTCTTGTTCATGGCCACATAGTCGATGCAGTTAAGGCCCGGGTTGAGATTGAGTAGCGGACCACCCAAGTTTAGGCGTTTGTTCGTACGATCAAACGATGAGTCATCTTCTGCTTCGTCCTGTGGCTTGCGCTTCTTGATTGCTGAACTCTTTGCGGCAGCGGCAGCAGCGGCGGCGGAGATTGTAGGCTTGCCCATGTTGATCTTGGACTGTGTGGTGATCTCCTTGGCCACGGCAGAGAACTTGAGCACGTTGAGTGTCTCGTCCGAGTCGCTGAGCGTTGGACTGACGTTGACGATCATGGCCGCCTTGCCGCTGTTGACAAAGTACTCCTGGCAGATACGCGTCAGCTTGGACTCGCGCCACGGTGGCACTACAGCTTGCTGGCTGGCCGTGCGCAGTTTGTTCAGGCGAAGCGCCTCCATGCAACGGCCCAGCGTCAGCAGCGAAGAGTTGATGTTGGTGGCCTCCTTGAAACGCTCACCGTTGGTGTCCGTGCGCTTGGAACGCTCGCTGCCAGCAAGATCGACAATGGTCAGTTTGCTGAGGCGGATGTCTGCCTCGGTCAGGTGCTTCTTGCTGACGCCGAGTGGCGTGGCAAACAGTTTGATGGTGAGCACGGCGTGACTGCGGCTGCTGCCCTTGTTCAGCTTGGTGCCGCCAACGCGACGCGCTGACATGCCCTTCTCAATGATGTCGTAGGCTTCCTCGATGCAGCCGACGCGGTGCTCCTCGAGTCCCTTGATTGAGACGGCCTCGGTGGCCGATGACTCGAGCTTCAGATGGCTCTTGAGCTTTGTGGGCGTGTCCACGAGCAAGTCGTAGATCTGATCCTTGTAGATCTCGTAGTAGGACATCCAGATGCGGTACTTGTAGCCCTCGGTCATGGTGATGGGCTCGCGCTTGTTGGGCGTGGCGCCGTTGGCAGACTGCTCATTGTTCTCGTCCATCGGGGTATCGTCGTCAAACTCATTGTCGTCGTCATCATACATAGAGTCGGCATACTCTGCCGACGTGTCCGTGTTGGGGTCGTCTCCGTCCCACTCGTCGTCGTCATTGTCCGACTCTATCTTGTTGCCCTCGTCGTCGAACCTATTCTGTTTGATCAAATGTCTTGGAATAGTCTTGAATAACAACTTTAGTGCGCGAGGTACTACACCAGGTTGTCTCTGGGATCCAGTTATTGTGAAGGTCTGTCAAATGTGTTTCAGAATTGAGTTAGACATCATAGCTTGGCGCGTGTGGCGTGTGTGGCGAGTGAGTGTGGCACGTGTTGCGCGCAAGAGAGAACATACCTTTCCAGCATTGGTCACTCCATAAGCAAGCAAGAGTATGTTGTGGCCATTCAGGAATGACTGAAGTAGTGGGTAGGATACATTGCTAGAGTGATAGTGGCGCGTGAAGAGTGAGGTTAGCAAGCGGGAACATGCATGGTCACAAGTCAATGCATAGACGACTTACTTAAATATATGTGGCTGGGATGCAGTAGTATTGAACACTTGAGTGAATGTGAACTTGCTGTCGGCAGACTCATTGTTGTTGTTATTGTTGCTGTTGGTGCTGGACTTGTCTTTGCTGGCGGAGGACGAGCGGAAGTTGACCGAGGTGGGGGTGAGCGCGGCAAAGCAGTTCTGCTCCTTTGCCTTGGTCTCATCGTTTGACAGAGGTCTGATACGCAGGTATACCTTGATGGGCTCGATCGAGTCGTCTGGTCTATTACGTAGCTTGGTCACTGTTGTATTTAATGTAGTATTAAGTGTTGTGTTCAAAGTTGATTGGCGAGGAGTTGTTGGTGACTGCTGCTGTTGCTGTTGTTGTTGTTGCGCCAGCTTCTTCTTCTGAGCTGGTGTTGTAATGGCTGATATTCTATTTATTGCTGGTGATGTTATGGAACTGATGGCGAGCATGTATGTTAGCGTTCATTCACTCATTCAATCATTCAATCAATGATTCAATCATTCAATCAAACATACAGATCATCAGCCATCTGTCTCTTTTTGACCAAGGGAGACTCTTGTATATCATTGTTCCGCTTGTACAATGATGTCATATTTCTATGTGTTGCTCTATGTGTCTATCTGTTGCCTGTTACTGCTCCTGGAACATACAGCTCAACCAAATCTAACTAACTAAATAACTATTGTGATTGATGGTTTAAATAATGAAAGAGTGTTGTCTCACTAACCTTCATGTAAAGAGTAAGAGTATGTATAAATATATATTTTATAATGTCAATTGGCTACCTTGCAAGTGATTGATTGAGAACTAAACAAAGATATGAGCGTGATAACACTTTGAGCGCTCACCATCTGTGTTAAACCGTTACAAACAAAACGGCGCCAAGTTCAAATTCAAATTCAAATTTGGGTCATTTGTCCAATGTGAAGTTCTTCTATGACATGTATCAAATACGTGTACAAGTAATAAGTTAAGTATATATACTTTATATATTATTTACATATCTTGTGGAAGGTCTTCTTGGCATGTCCTTGCAGTACTTGCTCAATGTCCTTCTCCATGTTTAACAGGTTGAGTTTATATCGCAGTTGTCTAACTTGTTCTTTGGTATTGTTGTTGAAAGATGTTGATGATGAAGTCGATGTTGATGATGAGGTCGATGATGATGGTGATGTTGATTTTGAATCCTCAGTTGTAATAGTACTCAGATCACTCTCTGTCTGTTTGATACAGTTGTCTATCATCTGTAAACGCAATGTCGATGACAGACTTAGTCGATCCCAAACACTTCCACACTCTTCAATGTTCTTTATCTTGTTCATTTCATAGTTAAAGTTATCTAATAGTGATGATGAAGTCGATGATAATGATAATGATGCCATAGTGTCAGTAGATGTCGTGGACTCATCGATTGAATGAGTGATGGGATCGCGACCATACCATTCTCTTTACGTGAGTATACTAAGTAGTCCTTCAGGTCCACATACTCGCATGTGCGTGGAGGTCTCAATGCTATAAAGTTAGAAGACGTCGACATCTTATTATTATTATTATTAGTATTATATTATTTACAAGTTGAGGGAAGTGATTGAATGAATGGTAAACAAAAGTTGCTCATCACCAATCTCACTCACATTCATACATTCATTTATTCACTTCCAAGACATGATGGATAAGTTATCATTAATAATACTAAAGTTGATTGTTGAATGTTTTGAAGATGATATTGATATACTATCATTAGCATTGACTTGCAAGTCACATTACAACAACCTTTACAAATATACTCATTGGGTAATCATCAATCTTGACTCCAACATCGACTACCCTCCAACAACACCAACAACAACACCAACAACAAATCAATGGACTTTGGCACATTACCAGTATAATAACTTAAAGATATTCCAACCTGGAGGTCTACCATCATCACTCACGCGATTGGGGTTGCGTTGTCAGTTCCCTGAACCAATGACCAGTGATATATTCCCTTCTTCACTTTTGGACCTATGTATTACCAAAGGACTCAAACAATCAATCACACTCAACTCACTGCCTCACTCATTGATTGACCAAGCTGAGATTTGGCAATTCATTCGATCAACCGCTGGAGGAAGGCTCACTGCCTCCCAACTTGGTGGAGCTCACCCTTGGCATCTCATATTCCCAGACCATCAAATGTAATGTGCTTCCCAGCTCACTCCGAAGCCTTGACCTGGGGCACCAACTATCTTCCTACAACAATCTATACCTTCTGCGTGAGAATTTCTCGATACCCAAAAAGTCCAGGGTTATCGAGGAAGGTGCACTCCCACAGGGTCTTCAATATCTGGCCTGCCAAGAATATTGGATCTTACCAGCACTCATTCCTTCATCGATCAAACTACTTCGTCATGGAGCACCACGGAACCAATACAAATGGTTCGACAGACAACAGATGGTCACAGGCATTGCCGGTTGTGAATTGGTAGTTGATCAACGCAAGGATATAAATGGACGCGAGTCTGGTGTGGCGCACCTGCCCCTGACCAGTCTGATCTGGGAGGATTCAGGTCCGATCGCACCCAGTACACTACCCAACACACTCAAGATGTTCTCCTTTGGCATATACTACGAGTCTGACTTTGAGGTTGGTACTCTCCCCTCTTCTCTCACTGTGCTGGACATGGGAGTAGTTTCCGAATCACCCATCACACCAGGTCTCCTGCCGGACTCCATCCAACGATTGAAGATTCCAGACTATTTCAGCAAGGAGCTTGCCCCTGGCACAATGCCACGCTCACTCACACATCTTGTGGTGGGGCAGAACTTCAACAGTCCACTGTCCATTGGTCTATTCCCTGCTACACTCATCAAGTTGAAGCTGGGATATTCATTCAACATGCCCATCGAGTCAGGCGTATTACCATCGACACTTTTGAGCCTCAAGTTTGGAGCATGTTTCAATCAATCAGTGGCATGGCCACAATCACTTGAAACTCCTACGCATTGGTCGCGATTATGATCCCAAGTCGAAAGACATACTTCCAAGTGGACTGAGATACATGAACATTTTGGCACGCACCAAACATTCCAGGTATCTCTCAAAGTGCCAATCGATCGAAGCATTGAAGATCCGTGTCAATGAGACACATTACAAACGAAAGAGGTCCAGCATGGATGTGGTCCGCGTCCCGGCCAACATTCACTCGGTCAAGTTGAGAATCAAGACCAGCGAAGAGAATTTGAAGAACAATCTCATGACACTGCTTGAAGCGAACCCTCATTTAACAAGCATCAGCATGAGGCAGAGAGTCTATCGCTTCGATGTGCGCATACTGGACGTCCAATCGGGCAGGTTGGCTGCGTGGGTCAGTCGTATTCATGGCGTGCGCAACACCAGCAAGCTGGTGAACATCCGACTCGACGAGTTGCTCTCAGAGTTTATCGAGTTGGACGAGCTCTATCCTCCCTACTATGATCAGGATCACAGGGATGAGAATTCATCGTGGGATGACGAGACCTGTGGAAGCGATTCATACGACTTTAGTGACGATGAGCCACCAAGTGATGATGTTGACGATGATGATTCTGATCAGAATGATTATTAAATAATAAAGAAGTCGACTTAGTGTTCCAAGGACCATCCGACTTTGAAATGACAAATTTGATCAATCAGATGATCATCAGAACTCGTTCAAATATGGATAAACTACCACAAATACTTACCAAGTACATTGTCAATGGATTGGATCATGATATCGATGTACTGTCACTCTCACTGACTTGCAAGACTCTTTACAACATAATCTTCAAATGCATGCGATGGGTATCCTTTGTCGACAAGTCACACACAAAGATAGCAACAACAACAACTACACAATATAATTGGGTCTATTGCGTTGTAGGAGGAGTCAGACACTCTGCGGTAATCCTACCTGGCGACCTACCTTCTTCACTCACTCGATTGGAGACACATAGCAGGTACATTGATCGGATGACCAGTGACGCATACCCTCAATCACTTGTTGAGCTATGTATCCATGGTGACTTCTCTCAACCCATCACACCCAATACATTGCCTCACTCATTGACCAAGCTTAGATTTGGTCATTCGTTCAATCAACCATTGGACGTGGCTGCCTCCCTCCCGGCTTGGTGGATCTCACCTTTGGCACCTCATTTGCTCAACCTATCAAGCGTGATGTGCTGCCCACATCACTCCTACGCATGGACCTTGGTTACCAAGGCAATCCAACCTACGATGACCCTGCCTCTTACAATGTACACTGTAGAAATCATCGTACTAGGGTCGAAGAAGGAGCACTGCCTGACGGCCTTCAATACATTGCCTGCAAAAGGGGTTGGATTCTTCCTACAATCATTCCTCAATCGATCCAAGTTCTACGTTATAGGACACCGTCTGAGCATTATAAATGGTTCCAGAGGCAACAGTTACAACACGCCGGCAGCATTAATGGTATGGAGCTGACACTTGAAGTGAACGATCATATTCTAGAGATTGAGGATATATTTGGCTTGGCTGGCAATGAGTCCTTTGTTCCCCACCTGCCTGTCATCAGTGTGACCATTGAGGGTTTCGAGGCAATCAGACCTGGCGCCCTACCAGACACACTCAAGATGCTATGCTTTAGCCACCATTATTCCGAACCACTTCAAGTTGGTTGTCTGCCATCGTCGCTCACTGTGCTTGACCTTGGAAAGATCATTCTCAAGATCCCAATCACACCCGGTGTCCTGCCACACTCGGTCCAACGATTGAGGTTCCCCACCTGGTACAACATTGAGCTTGAGCCAGGCACGCTGCCACGCTCTCTCATCCAACTCAAATTGGGATACAACTTCAATCAGAGGCTGGGGATTGGCCTCCTCCCTTCCTCTCTTACAAAGTTGAAGCTCGGATATGAATTCAACATCCCAATCGAGTGGGGAGTGTTGCCAACTACTCTGTTGAGCCTCAAGTTCGGAAAATGCTTCAATCAATCAGTGTCATGGCCACAATCACTTGAAACTCTTTGCATTAATCGAGACTATGATCCAAAGTCAAAGGATACACCTCCAAGTAGCCTGAGATACATTAACATTCTGTCTTTTGTCAATCATTCCAATTTTCTTAACCGATGCCAATCGATTAAGGGATTGAAGATCCGTGTCATTGATGATATCAGCGAGGTCTTGATCCCTGATGGCATTCACTCAATCAAGTTGAAGTTCAAGACTAATGCCATACAACTCAAACAATATCTCAAGTCACTCCTGGAAGTGAATCAACAAGTCACGAGCATCAGTATGAGACTTGGAGTCTATCGCTTCGAAGTGCTAATTCTGGACTCCCAAAAGGGATGGTTTGCTGCATGGGTCAGTTATATATATGGCATGTCTGATACCAGCAAGTTGATGTTCCTCAATCTTGTCGACTTCCTCTCAGCATCGGACACAGGGTTGAACGAGCTCTATCCTCCCTACGATAAAAAACATCACCAGAACGATGATGTATCATCGGATAACGAGAGCTCTGTAAGCGGTTCATATGACCTCAGTGAGTGGATCGAATAATTCAAGCCAAGCCAAACTAAACCATCTTTATTTACATAAACTTGAAGTCTTGGGCAAATTCATTGACATCTCTGCGCTCGACCTTCTCGACAAGGTCGTCGCGACCCATCAGACGGAACACCATCTTGAGGTTGTCCCAGATGTGGACGGCCTCGGGGTGGATGGACAGTGCACCCAAGAACGTTTGGGCAGCTTCGTTATACATGTTTAGCGCCAGGTAGCTGATGCCTAGATTGGAGCGAGCGCGCACATAACTGGGCTTCTGCTCGAGTGCTTGAAAGTATGCGCCCAATGCCTCTTGGCTGCGGTTGCTGTTGGCCAGGGTGGCGCCCAGCTTGTTCCACAGCTGGTAGTCAGATGGATTGTTCTGCAGCGCCGCCTTGAAACAATCGACTGCCTTGTCGTACTCGTAGGACATGTTGTAGAGCAGACCCAATGCCGTCTGCACCTCGGGGTCTGGGTCATTGGGGCGTATCCTTGCAGCTTCCAGGAACAACTCGGACGTATGACGATGTCTGCGCCAAGTGTCCATGTACGATCCCTCTCCATCCTCATCGTGAGGTATCTCAATGTTGATGTGTCTATACTGTTGGCTCCTCTTTAGCCACTCCTCCAATGTCTCTAATGCTCTATCCTTCTGGTAGTCATTTGTATAGCTGACTGCCAATGCAAGCTAGAGAGTGGTGAATGATTGATTGTGTCAGTATCCAACATGGTCGCTGGCTTGATGGACATAACATACTCTTGCTTTCAAATTGGTTGGATCAAGATCGATTGACTTTAGCAAACATGTGATTGCTTGTTGATCCTTGTCGTTCTCGGCGTGTGCAATGCCAAGGAACATCCAGGCCTCGGCGTTGTCCGGGTTGCGCATAACCTCGCTCTCCAGTGTGACGATGGCATCGTTGATTAGACCTTGATTGAACAGGTCCATGCCAGACTCGAACGTGTCCTCCTCGCGTGGGTGATCAATGATGAATTGATACTCTTGCAGTCGCTCGTCAGAGACAGTGTCGTGGAAGTTGGTGTACCCTTCCTCCCACAGCTCATTGTCCTCCTCCAATGCCTGCGGAACAAAGTTCTCGTTGTGTACGACGGTGTTTCCGACGATCTGCGCCTCGCCACTGTTCAGCTGATTGATGAATCGCATAAAGTTTGACTTCTTGAGCTTGGGGTCGTTGATCCTGCCAATGGACTCGGTGATTTCGCTCAGTGATTGCTTGGTTGTCTGGTCCCACGCTGCATCCAGATCCTCAGATTCGTTCCATGCGTGATCGAATGGTTCCAGGTCCTCCTCTCTGAACCAGGCGTTGTCAAAGTCGTCGTCGTGCTCTGCGTCCTCCCAAGCCTGCTCATATGTCTCGTGATGCTCCTCCACCAATCCCTGAGGCACGCCTTGGTCTTGTTGCAGGTAGTCTGTCTCCCAAGGCAGACCCTCGTGAATCCTATGGTTGTTCGATGTTGTTGTTGTAGTCGATGTTGGATGATGATGATGGAAATCATGATGATCAAGTTCATGTCCATGATCATCCCAATGTGCATCAAAGTCCTCAAACTTGTCCTCTGCTTCAAAGCCAAGTGCATCGAATAGTCTATTCAACTGATCGCTCTCATAACCTTTATCTTGTACTACATTGTGATGAGTGAAGTGAGTTAGTGATTGAGTAGGTCAGTCAAGCGTTGCCACACTCTACACACATACCTTCGTTCAACTGCCTAAACAATACTTCGCTTCTATTTCTAATCTTTGCCTTGTCGTGCTGTGATAGTCTAATCTCACCTCCGAATGGTATTGGTGGAAGAAGATGCTAGAGATTGATTGAATGAGTGAGTGAGTGATGTGATGTGATGTGATGACCTGATGACAACCAATACATACATGTGCCTGTGATGATAGGATAAAGTCTTTGAAGAAGTTTTGTAGCTCGCCTGATATCATGTTACCTTCGCCTGGCAAACGGAACTCTGTGTTGAACGTTCAATGTGTAAGTCAATCAATCATTCAATGTATCAATCATTATCAATGCATAGACAACGTACCATTCTCCTTCATAAACATCTGATTGGGACCATGACGATCCATCAAGTTCCTATCCAACATTGAGTCAAAGTCATCTTCGTGTTGCTGATCGAATATATCATCAAACTGTCTGTGATCATCATACAGCTCATCTTGTCTAAACTGTGGCTCGCCTCTATGTTCCCATTTGTCCTATATATACAGAATTCAATGATTAATAACATGTCATATCATGTCAAGACAATACAATACAATACAACAAACATACATGATATAGACCTGTCTTGTCTGTTGTGAACTGTTGGACAAAGTTGCCCAAGGCATTCGGTTCGCCACAGTCACCATCGATAATATCTCTAAACATAGACATCTTGTATGTATGTGTGTATGTATTTGTTTAGATATATATATATATATATATATTTGTATATATGTAGTAATAATAATGTAAATGAAGATAATGACTGAATAGTGATTCATTCAAGATTGCGAACCCACCACACACAAGATTCAAAAGGTCATCCATTTCCCGAATTCACACCAACATGATGTCATTCGACACTTTATGAGTTAGAAACTTCAAGTTTATTATTATGTTAACAAGATTGCAATGTACATTGTAGTTGTTGTAGTTGTAAATGTCCTAGAACATTACAAGCATACACCTCCCAAGAGACCATCAACCAGTCCAAGGACAGTGAACAGGACTCCATTGACAACGTTCTCAACGGCAATGACTGTACCACCAACAGTTCTGGTCAGTCCACATCCGAGGAGTCCAGCATTCTCATTGCCACCCTGTCCAAGTCCAGTAATGCTTGAGGCTGACACAGTGCTCTTGGTCATCGAGGAGGCAGAGGCAACGTTGCCCATGGATGAGATAGATTCTAAATGAACAACATCATATTAGTAATCATTTTGGATGATTATAATGATCCTACTACTACTACTACTTACTCATGATAGTCATTTTTAAGATATTGTTTGTTTAGTTTGTTAGTTAAAATTAGTATATTATTGGTTTGATTGTTTGGATGACTTTGAATTAAGTGGAAATGTCTGTATTTATAGATATTCCTATCATAGTGGACATTGTCAATCAAATGGAGGGTTTGGCCAATCGTTGAATTGTTTGGATCAAAGCTGGAAAGATATATATCCAATCAAGAGTGGATCATTGTCATAAAGGACATGACAGGAGATGTATAACAACAACCACTCATAACATTGACATTGAGTACTTAAAATTATCATAACATAATGATCAAATATCGTTTATCTCCAGGAATGATTGATGTTGTCATTGCCCAACAACTACATTGGATGGATTGATTGATTGATTGATGGTGATTCATTCATATTTGATTGATTGATTGGATTGATTGATGGATTGATCACTGAAGTGTTACGAAAATTCGTAAAGGTGTTTAAGTGAGTGGGAGTGGGTGTGTGTGAAGTTTGTTGAACAGATAACTTGTTTTGAATTTATCTGTTTGATTGTTACATGTGTATGTTTATGTTTATCTTTATGATTTAAATTGAATGGTTTGGGTAAATGAATGTCTCCGCTGCATGAAAGTGACACAACACTAAGTCTATAGGCCACTGATTAAAGAGGAAATAATATTTTTTCGATGTTACACGCGAAACCTGTGCACGGTGATGCCACCAAAACATATGGTTATACATAATGGACTGCACTGGCTTGTGTGAATTAGAAGATTTACTTTCTCATTTCTTGTCTTTGACAACCTAGATGAAACCGAGTGTCTACATAATTTATGGGTTTCAGAAGTATTATTTGTTTGTGTCGGCAACAATCAACGAATAACGTTATTCAATGTTAATAATAAGTAATAAATAATACAACATCTTTGAGTTGAATGTGAACAATGAAGTGAATGAGTGAATGAATGAATGAGTGAGTTGGATGTCGTTGAGTTGTGTTTGTCTCGCGAGACACAACTTTCCACGGACTTGTCATTCACTCAAACATGACACAACACAACAGAACAACAAAGAATGAATGAATGTAGATGTAGTGCACTTTATGAATGGATCAACCAATCAATCACGAGAAATGAAGTTATTGATTGATTATGGACCTCCACATGAACCTGCTTGACACATGTCAGTACCTGATGGTATGATGTTGTTGCAGTTCAAGTTGGGATTCAGCTCTTCGAAACGATTGAGTGAGAGTAGGAATAGGTTGGCTGCATTCTGACAAGTGATGGAGTAGTCGAGATCACATGAGTTGCCACATTCATTGCCGACGTTGGTGCAGTTCTGTGCAGGTACGAGACAGTCTCCGTCGTTGTTGAAGAAGGGCGATTGGTCGACCTCGAGGTTGTTGGGCGGGTTGACGATGATCTTGGTCTCGTTCAGTGTCAATGCCACCTCGCAGTCGGTAGTGCCTCGTTGAATCGAGTCGGAGCCAATCCAGCAGTCGATGTGGTACTCGTGGTGGTGCTTCCAGTCGTCGTCACACTCGGCGCAGTCATCCATCATAATGAAGTACTTGGAGTAGGCGGGCACGTAGACGATGGAGTGGACAGGGAAGGCGTCCTTTGACGCGGCAAATGTGATGGGGTTGGCGTAAGTGCCCACACCACCAGCCTGTGGACGACTTGGCAATGGATAAGCGATCTCACCACTTGGTGGGCAGTTGTCTCCTGCTGCATAGAATGTCATCTCACCAATCACCGTTGAAGATCGGATACGAGCATATACAAATGATGCACTAAGCATCAAGGCCAACAACAATGTGATTATAGTGAATGATCTCATCGTCTATTTGTTGAGAATAAGTGAGTGATTAACTGATTGATTGATTGAATGATTGTTTGAATGATTGATATGATACATGTTGTTGGATACCAAGTGCTGGAAGTTAGTCTGTCCCTTGGATCACTACCCATTGGAAGGAGTGGTCGAACCTTGATGGATATTTTGGTAAATGGACTCAACAAAGCCCATCATTTTCTTTGCACTTGGACCTCGAGCAGCAAATAGATCACATTTTTTGATTGGATCGGTGGTATCAAGAATGAGACTTCCCAACTCCACATGTGACCTCATGGTAAACAATATCTACTTTAACTCATCACATCAAGCAAACATATTTATAACTAACTATGTTTGATTGGTTCGATTTATTTATGTCCTGAAGCATTGCGTAGCTTCATCTCAATCCTTTGGTTGTCCCTCCTATCACTCATACGTTTGTAGAGGAAGATGGATGCAGCGGTGATCACACATACAACAAATGCACCACATAGTACAGCTATTAAGATAATCTTCCAACGATCTAATCCACAGTTGGTCTCACTCGGTACAATCAATGATTGGAATGTTGGATCGATCAGACAATGATCGTTAAAGTGTGGGATGGGGATGGATGCCGCCACAACAAAGTCAGAGTCCTTGGACTGCGACACCAACTCTTGAAGAATGGGATCGGTAGCGTCGAGAAGATACTGGTTGGACGTGACTACCCTACCATCGACATACATATGTGAGGCGAATGATCCAATGAATACAGATGTACCTGCTTCAATAAAGAGTTGGTTGTCTGATGTGTTGACGGTGGTGGCGCGACTCGAGCAGCCATCATCCGCCTGCTTGGCTGTCCTCGACTCAAAGATGAGCTCCAAAGTGTTGAGAGTGCTGGCGAACTTCCATTGATGTATCGAGATGGTGAACTTGACAGAGTTGGGCTCGAGATATAGTGTCTCGCCAGCAAACTCAATCTCTCTAGCCTGTTGGATCAATGTTATGTTGATCAAGATGTAGAAGGGATCGACGTTCTCTGACAGGGTACCATTCAACTCACCAGTCACATTGTTTGAGGTCCATTTGACATCACTCATCTTGACTGATCGCACTGTATTCTGGATCTGATCAGACTCTCGAAGGTATATGATGGCGCTGGTGAAGTTGACATTGGATGGGTTGACCACGGTGCCATTGATGATAGTTGGAACACCTCCAGGTGTACCAGGTTTGGAACAATCATCTAATAAAGTCCATCCTTCATCACAACGACATGTTCCAAGTACACATGCACCCTTGTCATTACATTGTTTGCCATTGGTCATTGGACATTGTTTGGGATTATAGTAGAATACTTGATTGATACCCGATAGCAAACCAGAGGTGACTGTTATGTTCATGGTTGTGTTGCCAATCTGAGGTGTGACTCCATCAAAGTAGCATTGGATTCTTGATGAGGTGATGTAAGTCAAGTTATAACAAGGTTCGTTGTTGGGACCTATTGTTACACTTAGACGTCTGGTTCCAAAGTTGTTTCCATTGATTGTGATCAATGTGGTAGTGTTGGCAAATCCAGAGTTGGCGCTGAGTACCTGTGGAGCACTGAACTGGTACTCGAATTGATCATTGATCTGTCCACCAAGTTCGACTGTGATATTTATAGGTCTGGAAATCTCCCCAACTGGGTCGGGGATGTAACATGCAACTTTGTAATGCGGTACCAACATGATTACATTGGTACACGACATCACTCCGATGGTAACATTGAGCAATGTAGAAGTGTTGTAGTAGTTGGCACCAGTCAATGTGATCCATCCACCATCAGAGAGAAGTGGTGTTGCAGAGTAAATACTGGGTCGGTAGTATTGAACGAATGTCTCGTTGAGCGGTGATGTCAAGTTGATGTATTGATTCTCAATTGAGAACCAGACGGGGAAAGAACCTTGACCATATCCTGGAGGGATTCTAATCCATATCTTTGTGGTGTGATCGGGACTCAACATGTCAGTCGGATCAATCTCCAAGAACATGTCCCTCTGATACTCATGCTTCTGACCTTGGAAATAAAAGTAGTTGGTGTCCAACTGTGTTCCAGCTTCCATAATTCCAACATCAATAATGTCACCTTCAGTTGGCATAAGGTATGAAAATGTTGATCGTACTTGTTTCGGTGCTACATCATTGATTAATTGATCGATTGATTATCATGAGTTAGGGTCATTGATTGATTGAATGATCATGTGTTCGAGTGATGCTATACCTTTTGCATAGTGGTCAGCAATCACTCCCCACCAAAGTATCTCTGCTTGACTCTGATTGGTAGGAGTGTATTGGCCAGAGTATACATCGTATGAGTAGTATGTTTTGGGTTCGTTGGAGGGCAGTGGCGCTACATTGGGGTAGGGAGTGACCTGAGTGCCTTTGATACCAGGTGGACCATCACTCCTGGTCCAAGCAGATTGTGATTGATCAAATGACAATGACGTCCAATATTGGTTGTAGAATACATGATTACAAAGTCGAATCATAAAATCAGAGAGCTGGGGCGAGTCCACCGCTGTCATGTATCCACCAAGCCCCTCAACTGCCATTCGATGAATATAATCCAACGAGTCATTGAATGAGTTGTTTGGTTTCCAACAAGACACAAACCTTGTTTTGTTGAATGCTATATGTTTGATTGATTAATGATTGCTTGTTAGGATAAGGATCTAAAGGAGAGAAGGAAGTGTTAACATACCAAAGGCAGGTTTGATTGATTGTCCATAGATTGAGTCGGCAATAATGGTGATTGGAAGTATGGAGTTTTCAATATTAAGGATATCTTTGTCCAAAGTACACTTGAGTACTCCTGTCTTGATTGTTGAGATATTGGCACAGTTGGTACCATCGGCAAAGTGTATCGACATCAATGAATCAGAGGCAAAGTTATCACCAGATACTGTCAAAGTTGATCCTTTTGTCAAACTAACATATCCAGTTGAGTTGAATTCTGGATAGATTACTGTTATCCTTGGTGGTCGATATTGGAATGTTGTGTTCAAGATAGTCTGACCATTGGTAATCCGAACGTTGTATGAACCTGAACCTGACTTGTCTAATATACAATAGATTCCACCATAACTTGATCCAACTGGATTTGTACAATTGACCTTCTCACCAGTTGATCGTTTGGTGAACTCAATATCTATTGGTATTTTAAAGTCTATTCCAGAGTAGTTTGTAATGTTGATCACTTGATCGGCACCAATTCGGATCGGTGGGATATATGGGTCTGATGATGTTTGAGTTATTGTAAGTTAGTGAATGATGATTGAATGTTGAGTGAGTGATCAGGCATACCTTGGAGTCCTCCATATTCACAAACAAAATAGAACATAGTTTTGGGACCTTCAATATTGTTCCAAGATCCATTGAGAGAATGATAAGACATTAGATATATCTCATTATCATCAGGTTGTAGGTTTGGTTCACTAGCATCAAAGTTACAAAAAGTTGTACACTTGATTCATGAATGATTGAAGGATTGATTGAATGTTAGGATGGGAAAGGGAAGGGATCATTCAATCAATCAATCAATCAAAACATACCTTGTCTGTGTAAACATCGTACATGAGTGTGCCAGATTCTGGACCTGAGCTGTAGTAATATATTCCAAAGTCTCTGTCAGGACGTGACTTGCTAAGGCCTGATATCCAATAACTTCTCCATAATGGTGACCATAGTTGTCTGGTCATTCTATCGATAAAGTCATTCTCCTCATTCGTTGTGATCGTTACCAGGTATCCTTTCAAATCCATAACAAGTCTAGAGTTACAATAGTTATTGGCATCCACCCATGTCATATTATTCATTACAAACTCATAATAATGAGGTGATAAACTATTTGATGGGAATGGATATATCTGAGCATTGACTGATATCAATGATATAATTGTAATAAAGATATAAATGATGTAATAATTCATTATTTGTTAAATAAATAAATATATATAGTATGATAGTAAGATATGATGTATGAATGATTGAATATCTTCACTAAGGAATATCTGATTGGTGAACGAGACAGGTATCTAAACCGATGGGTACCCAAGGACTTGAAAAAATATCTTTGACCCCCGAAAAATGCATCGATCTTGTGTTTTGATCAAAAAGTTAAATATCCCACACACTGGTATCGTGATCAGAAGTGGACACACTGTAGTGTGAAGGTATAACCGAACCATCTAAACTACCTGTAAAAATCATTTATTATTACTTATGATATAATTTGATAACCTTGATCATTTGGTTGTCCACCATTACTACTTCCAGGTTCACCATCTTTTTGTGATGGGTTTTCAGATACACTGATTGATTTTGTTTGGTACGTATTCATGTCAGGGTCTTCGAGGCTATCGTAGCTTGTTCTTCCCATGCGTTGTTGTTGCTGTTGTTGTTGGAGGTCAATAGGACGGAAAACTCTAAAGATGGCCTTGCCAATGTTGATGACCGCCACCAAACCATCGGACAACCAATATATTAAGAAGAGTAGTGTAAGAATGAATGACCAATATTGGTAATGATTCCTTTTCAATACCAGTACATCGGGTTTGCCTGGTTCGTAGAAACATGTAGTACTGTGTACATTGTTGCAAAAGTCACAGGCTTCCTGACATGTGTCTGTTGAGTTGTGGAAAGACTTTCCAGATGAATTGTACCATTGTCCATTGAGTTTGATACCCAGATCAAAGATGGGTTGGTAGCACTTATGTCTTGCAGTGATCGGTGATGCTGTTGCAGTTAGTTCTGCTGAAGTACTTGGACATTGCTCAGGGGTAGGTGTTGTATTACTAATACTATTATTATTAATAGTACAGGTTATGATGTTATTTTTGATGATGGAGGAGGTGATATTCAGTCTTCTTTTGCTATTGATGATTCCACAATCTGTTTGTTGTACTGTGCAGTTGTAGAGAACACATTGGGCCTCATTGATGGTGTCGATTCCATTAAAGTAAATGTCAGATTCGAACCATAGCATACTAAATGAGATAGTGAATGTTATAAATAGTACTATCCAATTAATCTTGACTGGTGTTTGAACTTTGAACCATTCTTTCAGGGCATCGATCAACTCCATCTCTATGTATATGTTATGAGTATGTGTATGTGTAAGTAATGAAAGGCTAATCAATCAATGACGCCGTTTTGAATAGGAATCATTGATTGAATTGAGGCCTTTGTAACTTGAACAATGTTTGGAGAAATCCTGATTTTGATCACTTTTTTGCAAACACTGTTTTTAACTTGATTTAATGAGTTGTTATTAGATTATAATGGAGTTGATGACCATCCATCTGGGGTGCCCATTGGTGTAGAGCCTTCTTCAATAGTCTGGTAACCTCCTCTTGTTTTGTTGCTAATATATACATATGCGTGATAAATGAATGACACTGCCAAAGTGATTCCAACAGCCCAGGCGAATACTATTGAGAGGAATCCTCCAAGTGCTGGCCTTCCCTTTGAGATTGATACATCGCTCGGGTTATGTAAAGAGTAGTAACAATCAAGATATGTTGTGTTGCTACAAAATTGTTGGGCGCCATCATATGTTGGTGCATTGCCAAAGTTCTGACCAGAGTTGGTATAGTTTCTTCCATCGTAATCTAGATTGATGGTTGCCGAACTGACGTAACACTTATAGAATGATGTTCCATTGTTACCAAAACAATGATAGTGTCCTAGTACATGACACTCTGTTATTAAACATGTTGATGTTTGTACACCATTAGTTTGATAAACATATAGAAATATTGATCCAATCATTGCAGCCAAAGACAAGAATGTAAAGAATCCATGTATTATCAAGTAAGTTAGAGTTCTGGCCATTATATTGTTATTATTTATATTAATATTTATCTGTTTAGTATTGTATATAGTATTGATTGCAATAATAATACAATACAACTACAACCTTATCATCACAACTTATGTTGTTGAGTACACCTTCCATTCAAACTATTACAATTGACCACACATTACAAACAACCAATCACACTATCACCCACACACGATTCTGATCAGTGATTGCTCTCACCCCTTTGAGGTTAGTCTTTGCATTGCAGGGCTTAAATGAATCAAAGTTTAATTATTCATTGTCATCAATTGATTGGTATTGGTATTGATGTAAATAACATATTGGATTATATATGTTATAAATAATGAAAGTGAGTAATAAGCTGAGGAAACTTAATACAGTGAATATTGATACCATTATTATACTGACAGTGAGTGGCCTCCTCTTTTGTGTTGATAAATCCTCCGGATCATGTTTTTTGAAATAACATGTAATATTATGTGTTCGATCACAGAATGAATCTCCATCCACTTTGGTGTTGAATGTATCCCATCTCTCTGTCCTTGAGTAGTTCAATCCTTTGTATATATTCAACATTGTTATCTCTACGATATAACATGGTGTACCAATTGACATTGATGATGATGATGATGATGATTGGTCTTGAGTGGACTCCATCTTCTTGACTGATTTCCAATTGTGTCTATCAATACATGATGCAGATTGAACATTACAATTGGTTACAATACATTGAGTTGAAGTTAGACTGTCTAGTTGATATCTAAAATATAATATACTTAATGCCAAGGTACCTATAAACATAAATGTAATAATAGAGAGTATTACTAATATTTGTTTAGTATTCATTTCTTATTATAATAATAATAGTTAATAATAATAATAAATTTGAATGCATTATTTCCAGACTCCTTGAATATATAATACATTCTCGTTACTTTGTGAACATGAAATGTAACACTTGAGATGATAGGTTGACTTCAAGTTTGTGTTACACTCATAAACTAAAGTTAGGTTTGATCTAAGATAGATGGATAGAATGAGATCATGAGTTAGTTGCACTTTCATTCATTTATTCATTCATTCATTCATTCATTCATTCATTGATTCTTATATTTATTTGTAATAAAGATATTTATTAATGAAAATATGATCAATCAAATATATCCCTCTTCCCAAGCCTCCGATTTCTTTTGGGTGTGTCAAGTTTAGCCCTGGGTTGTTGTCATCTATGTTGCTTCCCCCATCCCCCACGTCGCCATGATAGCATGAAGTTAGTTAGCCAGCTTTAATACACACAAATATTTATAAACACACACATACATTATCTTCCAACTAATCGTACCTCTACACTCATTCATTCCACTCACATTTATGTGTTTAATTACAAATACACACACACATAAACCCTCACCCTTTAAACAACAACAACAGCAACAATACATTTTATCTCTGTCAACTTGCACTCTGACTCCGACTTACTTACTTACTCAATATTATTAGTATTAGTATTAGTATTAGTATAGCATCCGAGCTTATTAGATTTACAGGTTAATAGAGAGAAACAACTTATATCATACATTTAATATATAACATTATAACAAAAGAGAGACAGACAGGAGAATCAATCATTCAATCAATCAATCATAGATAGATAGATAGATAGATAGATAGATAGATAGATAGATAGATAGATAGATAGATAGATAGATAGATATTTACAACACATACACACATACACATACACATATAACAACGATAACATGAACTTAAGAATGGATTGGAGAAAGTATACAAAGTTGTCGTTGGTAATCCTTCTGGGGATAACAATCACTATATTGTTTATATTGTTAATGGTGCCAGACTCACCTGTACAGACAATGACTCTAAACTTTATGTACACCGTAAAGAACATGCCACCATTCTGGGGCAGTATTGTAATAATGCTTATATACTCTGTGTCGCTGGTGTTCTGCTTCCCCGGCACACCCATCAACCTGGCCGCCGGCTTCCTGTTTGGCGTCTATCTCGGATCATTTGCCACCGTAGTCGGTTGCGACCTTGGTGCCGTGCTTGCCTTCTTCATTGGACGTTCACTGACGCGAGAGTGGGCCGAGAAACAAATCAAGTCAAACAAACGATACAGTCAGATTGATACAGCAGTAGCCAAGAATGGTCTACTAATCATCTTCCTCTTACGTCTATCTCCAGTCATACCTTTTGGTAAGTAGACAGCTGTCTATCCGTCGGTTGGCCACACGCAACAACAACAAACACTAACATTAACATGACATTATAGGTATCTGTAACTATATATTTGGAGCGACAAAGGTTAAGTTTAGCAAGTATTGGCTGGCGACAACAGCTGGCCTTATTCCATGTACAGTGGCATACACATATCTGGGCAGTTTGATGAGGAACTTGACAGAGATCTACTCGGATGATTCGGGCGAGAAGCAAGAACAGCTGATATTTATCTCAGTGGCAACTATATTCACAGTGGTCATCATTCTGGTCATCACCATTGTCACCAAACGCACATTGAACAGAGCCATGCTGGAGGAGAACAGCACCGTGGAGATGGACGATATGATCGACCTGGACCTGGAGAAGGCACTGCCTCTCATCCTAGAGGAGGATCACGATGGCGACAGCAGTAGTAGCAGCAATAGTAGTTTGGATAATTCACCTAAGCGATCACTTGTTGACGCCACTGGACTGGGTATCAACGATGCTGCAGAGTACATCATTGTCGACAACTCAAGAGTCGAGCGTGAATACACCTTTGAGAGTACGAATAAACGATTGGATTGATCAATCCAACCGAGCTTATTACTACTACAACATAATCATTGATTAGTGAATGTTAGATGTAGGATGTACTTTATTGTACTGAGGCAGTTGACAATGGATGACAGAACTGTGAGGCAGCCTTCAAGAAGAGCTCGTCGTTCTTGGTGTACTTCTCGAGGATGACCTGTTGGTTCTTCTCGTCCTCCTTGAGTTGCTCCTTGGTGGCGTTGACCTCAAAGATCTGCTCGAGCGACTCGTTGGACAGACAGGTGATCTTGCCCTGGATCTCGCTCCAGAGGTCGGTCTGGATGGGCACCAGGAAGAAGTTGTAGAACTTCAACAGCACGTTCTTGGTGATGCGCTTCCTGATTGACTCGAACAACTGTGTTGTCAGATGCTCGACGGTGGCGCGTGTGTCCTGGTGGTCGTTCCTTACGACGGGCAGCGACTGGTCTGGATGCTCGGTGAGCTCCCAGTAGATGGTGCGCGTCGAGTAGAACTCGTCCATGCACTTCTCCTTGCAGATCTTGCTGGCCTGCTCAATGAACTTGAAGAACAGGTCGCGCACATGGTGAGTGAAGTATGGGTACTGGTCGATGTTCTCCATGTCGAAGCGGCCGCCGGCCAGACCGCTGCTGGCGGTGATGCGGTTCTTCTTTCTTGAGTCCACCACCTTGTCGGCAACGTCGGCCAGACGCTTCATGATATAGATGGCGCGCTCGCAGAGCTGCTCGATCAATGGCACCATGGCGTCCTGAGACTTTTGCTGAGCGAGGTCGCAAGCAGCCCAGGCGTAGTTGGGGATGTTGTTGAGCTTGTTGATGCCCGACGCGGTGGCCACGTCGTCCAGAGTGACCTCGGTGATCTTGGTGTTGTCGCAGACGGCCTTGAACTCAGACATGAGACGCTCAAACTGCTGACCTCCGTAGAGCTTGCTGTTCCAGTAGGCGATGCCCCACTCCTCAGCGTCAAACTTGATTGGGCGGTTGTACAGGTCGACCCAGTCGCCGCCGTCGCCCTGTTGGTGCTTCTCCTCCTCCAGTGTTTGACCATTCACAGTGGGGTTACCCTCACTGGTACCCGCCAGCAGCTTCTCGGTGATCTGCAAAAAGCCGACGGTGTAGTGCGATGCGACGGCGCGCAGCATGGTGGCGTCCAGCGACGATGACTGCTTCTGCAGATCGTTCAGGGCGATCTCGGCGGCCTGGCGCTTGGCGCGCAGGTGCTTGAGGATGCGGGGAATGCCGTCCTGGTAGGACTTCCAGATGATGTTGAGGATGTATCTGCGGAAGGGGGTCACTCCAATGTTGCGCTCATAGCGCTTATCGTACTGGAACTGCTCCAGTGCGTTCATGTCACGCTTGTATGCCTGGGCCAGCTTCTCCTGGAAGCTGGCTGGGTCGGCGAAGCGTGCGCGGATCTTGTGGTTGGGGATAGTGACAAAGAAACTCTTAATGTCAGAGACGGCGCCGGCAAGGAAGCGGTTGACGGAGCGAGTCGAGTTGAAGTCCTGGATGACGTTGAAGAACTTGGTGAAGACAAAGGTGGAGCGGCTGAGCTCGGGGTCCACACGCTTGACAAATGGCAGCATGGTCATGTTGGCCCAGTCGCCGCATGGCTCGACGGCAACGATCAGACGGTGGTTGGGACGCAGGATGGCGCTGACTATAGCGTCGATCTTGGCGTGATCGTTGGCACCGTCGGCCACGAGACCCGGGGTGTCGATCAGAGTCAGGTTGAGTGTGGACCTGGACTCGATGAGCACGTAGATGGGCTCGTCCGAGATGACGGTGTTGCGACGGTTCAAAGTGTCGTTTAGCTGCTCCACGGTGATGACGACGTCGTGGTCGAGCTCCTTGATCAGGGCGTCTCTCTTGACGGTGACCTTGGCCACCTCGCACTCGGCATTGTTAACAAACTGGAAGTGGATCGATCTCTTTGAGCATCCCAGCGCGCCAACAATGTTCAATGGGCGTCCAATGAATGCCTCAACCAAGCTAGACTTGCCTGAGCTCTTTGGTCCAACAAACACAATCTCTGGCTGAGCGATCGATGTGTTAAGGCTGTAGTTTGTGTGGCGGCGGGCGGTAATGTTAGTGATTGATTGATTGATTGATTGGGGATCCATGATCGACTACATACTCTCTGGAGAATGCCTGGAGCTTGTCATAGGCAGAGTAGACCTCATTTGGGAAGAAGGAGAAGAGGTCTTGGGTGCCGGCACTGGCAGACTTGCCTTGCTGGTCCAAACTTTGAATCTCAAACTCTTCGTTCATCTCGTCGTTGGCTGCAGATGATTTCTTGCGTTCCTCTTCTTCGCGACGCTGCTTCTCGAGCTGCTCCTTTTTGGCGCGGTCCTCATCCTCCTTGCGCTTCTGCTCGTCCAACTTCTTCTTTCTCTCCTCCTCCTCACGTCTGATTCTCTCCTCATCAGCGAATGGCACTGGTGTAGCCACATTACCAAGAGTGGAGCTCACTGGTGAGCTGGTGGTTGGTGAGTACTTGTCTATTATTTGATTGATTGATTGATTAGTTGGTTGGTTAGAACCTGGAACATAATATTATTTTGATTGATGGATGTACCATGGTACATCATGTGATCATATCCAAATCAGGAACATTCACACGCAGTCAGCCACCCACGCCCACAATCATTCACAGACACATACCATCATCATGCTTCTTCTTCTTGTCATCCTTCTCAGTCTTATCTTTCTTTTTGAACACTGACATCTTATTTACTAGAGGTGGAGGGAGTTGAACATGTATTTATTAGTTAATGATCCATCCATCCACTTTCCAACTAATATCGAATCAACTCAATCAATCAATCTTACATTTTAGTTAGACTATTAAGTCTTTAGAGATATATAGATACAAGATATAAATATATAATATATTACAACAATGGGATAGATATGTGTGTTGAATGAACTGAACAGCCTGAATGAATGATACTGACAGTGGTGAAGTGATCACTATGCCATTGGATTTGAAATCAAAGGTGTGTGATCCTGATGAAAAAGTATGGTGTGTGTGTGTTGTTTGATCAACAAACAAACAATTATCCAAAAACACCCACTTGATCAGATGGGTCATCTGCTTTGGATTGGCGCGCTATCTTTCATCCATAGATTAAGGCGGTATTTAGGGATGGATGTCAAATGGTCCTCCAGTTATCTAGATCTAAAATAAAAACTATTCTTGTCCTTGTGTTGTTGACGACATCTTTATGATGAGGTCATTCATTCATACATTCGTTCATACTTTCGTTCATTCCATTCAATCATTCAATACCAATCCATCGATTGACATAGACACAGTTCATTGATCACTGGACACAAAGTGGCGACAACAAGAGCACGATGTACAATGAAAGATATGGCATTAGAGCCAAACACTTTATTAATGGTTGTAAGACACAGAGGCTGTGATCAACTTGAAGGCATGGCAGAGGTCTGTCTAGATGGACAGAGGTTCGGTGCAGGTGGACATCAGTGGCAGCATCGCGGCGGCGTAGCTCCTGGCAGAGGCTGAGGGACATCAACAAGGCGCATAGGTCAACAGCATGGCGGCAGACCACCGCAGTAGAGGTCAACAGAACGGCGGCAGAGGTAAGCACGGCGGCAGAGGTTCGGGGCATTGGACAGACAGCATGGCGGCAAAGGTTCGGGGCATTGGTCAGACATCATGGTGGCACTGATCGGACAGTCTGGCGTCAGAGGTTCGGGACATTGGTCAGACAGCATGGCGTCACGACAGCAGGGGTCAGATAGCATTGATGGGTAGCACGGTGGCAGAGTTCAAGCACCATGGTGGCAGAGTTCAACAAGGTGGCAGTGTTCAACACGGCGTCAGAGGTCATACGGCAGGACAGTAGAGGTCAACGAACACGGCGGTAGAGGTCTGCATGGCGGCAGAGGTCAGGCTGCATGGCGGCAGAGGTCAGCATGGATGGGCAGCATGGCAGAGGTCAACACGGGCGACAGAGGTCAACAGCATGGCGGCGACAGAGGTTCCGGTCTACAAGGTAACAAAGGTTCAAGACATTTGTAAGAGAGAGATAAGAATGAATGAATCAATGAGAGTGCTTCGTATTTATAGCTGTCTATGTCGCACCAGGAGTGTCACACGCACCATTCAACCAACCATCATTGACGGATTTTGAAACCCAGCCGTTATCAAACCTGGTTACCGCGACAATGTCAAATTCAAATCCCAATAACTGACACCACCAACCACTCACACCTGAAGTTCAAATGTTCAAACCTGAGTGGAAGTTCATTCCAAACAGTGGGGAAGATATTTATGTATGTTGATCTTGAGAAACACAACTACATTGCTTCATTCATTGGTTCATTCATTGCTTCATTTGTTTGTATACAATCAAACATTCAATTGCATTGATGTGTAATGTAATATATAATATAATGTAATGTAATGTAATGCTATGGGTACCCAAACAATGACATGACCGAATTGGATTGTATCCCAGAAGGTCATCCCATCCATCTATCACACTTTTGTTGTCATGATGACAGACAGACGCTACCGCTCAACTAATCAAGTCTGCTATGCTGGTCTTCTCTGTGCTGTCTGATCTCGTTCTTCTTTGATGCAGGAGTAGCACTGACCCGTGACTATCGACAAATCGCCCAACCCATCATGCATGTGATCGG